CAGTGCATTCAGAATTCCGCCGTATGAGATCAACCTTCGAAATCAGTATATCGAAATTGATGAGAATAAACAATTTACAAACTTTTTTCAACGTTCAAATTTTGATGAAAATGAGGTTTGAACATGAAATAGAGACTTTCTGGTACTGAATTTACATTTATAAGATAATTTTTTGAAATCAGCACATCGAAATTGATAAAAATCGATTCATTTACAAACTTTCGGTCAACGTTCAAATTTGGACGAAAACGAGGTTTGAACGTGAAATAGAGGCTTCCTGGTACCGAACTTTTCCGTATAACATTGATTTTCGTAATCAGCGTATCGAAATTGATCAAATAGAGTTGGTCTTGCAAATTCCCTTGATGGGTGACGATACCCCCCCTTCCTCGCCTGGTCTATCTGCACCACATGCGGATCTTTGAGATAGTATTCCCGACAAACCCACTGGACTGGCATCAACTGTTAACACAGTGTCCTTCTTAGCATCAAAATATGCCATAACTGGTGGTTTAGTAATAGCTGCTTTCTGTTAGAATATACAAAAAATAGAGCTATTGTTTAGTTACGAACAATGACGTTTACTTCCGCTTTTATTGCACGCTGTCATGCTGTGAGCTGTAAGAATTTACTTCGTCTAAGTTTTCGTTCTAGTTGTAATCGCCGTTATGTTATGGATGAATTTATCTTCAATCGCTTGTTTCTGTGCGTAAAACTCCTGATTTTAACAGGTTATGGGCCCAGGAGTTTTGATAAATTCGAATAGAATTTGCCACGAAGCTGACTTTCGACGATTTTAAATTCAGTGCGAATTATGGCTGCGAAACCGATGGAGTTTATGTCACAGCACAATGATAAGTTCGATGGAACGAATTTTCATTTATGGAAGTTCAAAATGCAAATGGTTCTCGAAGATAAGGATCTTTGGGGTATAGTTTCTGGCAAAGAAGTGGAACCTGCAGGGGAAGGAACCACGGAAGCTTTTGTGCAGAAATTTCGAAAGCGTGCGAGGAAAGCACTGGCGACCATTTGTTTATTGATAAGTGACAGTCAGTTATCTTTGGTTCGATCAGCGAATACAGCTGGCGAAGCGTGGTCAAAATTAGAAAATCACTATGAAGTCAAATCACTGGCTAACAAGTTGTTTTTACGAAAGAGGTATTTTACTGCGACAATGTCAGAAAATGATACAATGATGGAACACATAAACAAAATGAGAAGTTTGGCAGAGCAAATGGCTTCAGTGGGAGCGCAAGTCTCTGAAGAGGATCAAGTGGCGACTCTTTTGTGCAGTTTGCCAGATTCCTATAATAACCTTATTGTTGCACTTGAATCACGGGCAGATCAACTCACCCTAGAATTCATTATTGCCAGATTGCTACATGAAGAAAGAAAACGATCTGAAATTTCATCTGACCTTGGAATTGCGATGGAAAAGGCGCTTGTTACCACGAAGGAGATGTCTAGAGTTGCTGGACACCAAGTGAAATCCACCAACAAAAAAGGGAAATGCTACAACTGCGGTTTAAAAGGACATTGGGCAAGAGACTGTAAGAAACCTAAGAAGTCAAGCGAAAGGCCGAGACAGCAAGCTAATGTTACAGAAATGGAAGCCAGGCATACTCTCTTTTGGGCAACAGCCAATACAGACAAGAAAGAAGCGAATACCTGGATTATTGACTCTGGTGCATCTCAGCACATGTCATGGTGCAAAGAAAGGATGGTGAATTTTCGTGAATTTGCTGTACCAGAGAAAGTACGCTAGGGTGACAACAGAGTTGTATTGGCACAAGGTACAGGGTCAGTTTGGGTTAAGGTCAAAGTCGAAGGGAAATGGAAGCCTGTTGATTTGGCTGAAGTGCTGTTTGTTCCAGATTTGGCAAAGAATTTGCTCTCAATCAGTGCAATTGTCAAAAGGAATTTGTCAGTGGTTTTCAACGAGGACAAATGTCTAATCCTAAATAGCGATGGAGAAACCTTGGGTTTAGGAAGAAAAGACAGAAAGTTGTTTATTCTTGACTGTCTACCAATGAATGAATTAGCACATGAAGCTAACAGTGCAGATGATTCCTTACAACTATGGCATCAGAGGTTTGGCCATTTAGGAGTGAAGAATTTGAAAACGTTGCAAGATGAGGAACTAGTTGAGGGACTAAAGTTCAATGATTCAAAAGATATGCAATTTTGTGAGGCCTGTGTCGAGGGAAAACAAACACGAAACTCATTTCCTAAAGGTCAAGCTACACATGCTACTGAGCTACTAGAGATTGTGCACAGTGATGTATGTGGGCCAATGCAAACAACCAGTCTGGGTGGACATCGATATTTTGTTACCTTCATCGATGATAAATCAAGATTTACTGCAATATACTTTGTAAAAAACAAAGATGAAGTTCTTCAAACGTTCAAAGAGTTTGAAGCCATGGCAACAAAAATCACTGGACAGAGAATCAAAAATCTACGATCAGATAATGGTGTGGAGTATAGTTCCAAGGAATTTTATGATTTCTTGACACTCAAAGGTATTTCAAAGCAGAGAAGTGTCCCAAAAACACCAGAACAGAATGGGGTCGCAGAGAGAATGAACAGAACCATTCAAGAGACTGCAAGGTCAATGCTGCATGCTGCTAAATTAACAAATGATTTTTGGGGAGAAGCAGTTGCAACAGCAGTCATTTTGAGGAATCGTAGTCCCACTAAAGCAGTGAAGGAAATGACTCCATATGAAAGTTTTTATGGAAGAAAACCTGATGTTGCACATTTGAAAGTATTTGGATGTGATGCTTACATGCACATTCCAAAAGAGCTCACAAAGAAATTTGATTCAAGATCTAGAAAGTGCATCTTTGTTGGGTACAGCCTTTACAGAAAGGCGTATCGTCTATTTGATCCAAGAACAAAGAAACTTTATGAATCTAGAGATGTTGTTTTTGTTGAAAATGAGTTCAGAGGTCGTATTCAACATCAAACAGTGGAAACAAAGAAGATAGATTCTACTGTTAAACCAGTTTTCAAATCTGATGAAGAACAACTAGAAACTGAGTATGATGAAAGAGTTGCAGACCTTGAAACAGATAATGAAAACAATCGAAATGCGGAAAGTCAAGATGCTGAAGACTTGCAAGAGCCTAGACGCTCAAACCGTACAAGAAAGCCTCCAGAAAGAGACGGTTTCATTACTGGTGATTGGTGGGAATTTGAAGAGTCTTTAAATGCTGATACTTATGAGAATACTGAAGAACCTACAACAATTCAAGAAGCATTGAATTCATCTGCAAAAGTAAAGTGGAAAGAAGCCCTTGATAGTGAATACACATCACTTATCAAGAACAGAGCTTGGAATCTTGTTGAACTCCCAAAGGGACGTAAACCAGTTGGATGTCGTTGGGTCTTCAAGATTAAACATGATGCTAATGGAGCAGTTGAGAGATATAAAGCACGTCTCGTTGCTAAAGGCTATTCTCAGGAAGAAGGTATTGATTATGAAGAGACATTCTCTCCTGTAGCAAGATACACATCAATTCGCTCAGTACTTGCTATTGCAAATCAGTTGGATTTAGAACTGCATCAAATGGATGTCCAAACAGCGTTTCTTAATGGAGAACTAGAAGAAGAGATTTACATGTTACAACCAGAAGGCTACAAAGAAAAAGGCAAAGAAAACTTTGTTTGCAAGTTGAATAAAAGTATTTATGGACTGAGGCAAGCATCAAGATGTTGGTTTAAAACAATGGATGCATACATGATAAATAACGACTACGAGCAATGCCAAGCTGATTCTTGTTTGTATGTCAATCGTGTGGGAGCAGAATTTATAATCATTGCTTTATATGTCGATGATATGCTGTTAGCTTGTAGCAGTAAGCAGCTATTGCAAAATGAGAAAGAAGCATTGCAAAAACGGTTTTGCATAAAAGATCTGGGTGAAGCTCGTTATTGTCTTGGAATTCAGATTGAACGTAACAGAGCTGAAAAAAGGATGTTGCTGCATCAAAGCACATATCTTTCAAATTTGCTATGGAAATATGGAATGCAAAATGGTAAAGAAGTATCAACACCACAAGTGACAGGTTCAACACTACTTGCAAATGAAGGCGATCCTGTTGATAAGAAGAGATATCAAGCACTTATTGGAAGTCTTACTTATGCAGTTACAGCAACAAGACCAGACATTGCACAAGCTCTTGGATCTGTCAATCGATTTAGTTCTAACCCAAGTGGAGAACATTGGCAAAGTGTCAAACGTATCTTACGTTACATCAAAGGTACACTAGACTGGGGAATTCAATTTGATGGTTCAAAAGAAGAGGGAGTACAACTTAGTGGATTTGTTGATGCAGACTGGGGAGGTAACGTAAATGGACGTAAATCTCAGTCTGGCTTCATGTTTACAATCTGTGGTGGAGTTGTCAGTTGGGCAAGCAAGAAGCAAACCAGCGTAGCTCTCTCCTCAACCGAAGCAGAATACGTTGCAGCCTGTCTAGCTACCAAGGAGGCAGTATGGCTTCGCTCACTACTTGCTGACTTGAATTTTACTCAAGAAGAGCCTACAGTTGTTCAGGAAGACAATCAAGGAGCAATCGCGATGTCTAAAAATCCGAAGTTTCATGCTAGAACAAAACACATAGACATCAAGCACCATTTCATCAGAGAAAAAGTGGAGAACGGTTAGTTAATTTTAAAGTACTGTCCTACTAACGATATGATTGCTGATATGCTCACAAAGGCACTACCAAGAACACTGTTTGAAAAATTTCGAATGATGATGAACATAACAAACAGAGTTTGAGCAGAGACTCATGAACAACTTTTTTTTAATTGTTATAATCTATTTTTTGAGTGGGAGTGTTAGAATATACAAAAATAGAGCTATTGTTTGTAATATAGTGTAAACATGGACACCCTATGTCGTAATCCTTGTGATATTTTAATATGTTGTTGTTGTTAATCCAAAGATACTGGAATAGTGACTGGATAGGAAACTGCGCAGACAACAATAGGCGATTACGTTTATCTTCCAATCGCGTGTTTTGGAAAAGTTGTAGGGTATAGTCATTTCCGGTTTTAGTCTCACGACCAGGACATTCACCGAAAAAAGCAACATCCAAGAATGGATTTCACCTATTTTAATGGCCAAATCGACGAAGAATTACTTGAACTTGTTGTCGAGGTAATGTAGTCCGTTTCTTTGTGTACTTTAAAGGCGCTGCAGCCATTATCTCTGTCTCCGCGAATAAGAATTTAAGTCATGGCGATGTAGGCCCTTCTATCAAACTACAATATTTCATTTTCTAACGAGTAATTGCAAGAATGCCGATTGAACATAATGTATGTTCGATGAACCAGGGATAATGCTAGTGAAAATGTTGATTTACATTATAATTAGGCCTAGGAAGATACTTGTTTTAAATTAATGATGTTGGCTTTGGCTTGATTTTTCATCGACACGGCAGCAGCACCAGTCAACATATAAACAAATCACGAAACAATAAAATGGAAAGTTTCTCGTCTAATCATGTTTCCCGTTTTTGTTATACTTTTGAGGGTACAGAGCTGTGCACCCCTGTAGCAGGTGTACGTCTGGTTAAATTATTATCGATGTTTTCCTTTTAGGAAACCACTATTAAATTTTGTGATGACAGTCAAATTTTGTTATTCACCAACAAACGAGGAGCAATGCAAAGAAAAGGAAAGTTAAAGAGCCATATCGTAAGAAAAAGGGGGTGACTTTAAAGGAGAAAGAACATGATGCCCCTCAGATTTGTATGAATTCAATCATTAAGGGTGCTTTAGAATCGATGGCCAACAAGACGGTTTTGAGTGAAATGTATGGAAAGTTCTTCAGAGGCTACTGGAACTTGCAGGACCTGCTGATACAATAGGCTTCCCAAGAGGTCTTTTTAAGAACAAATTGGAAAGCAAAACCAATTATCTGGATTCCATGTGGGAAAATTTCCAGAAAGTATGGAGGATGAAAATGTTAGAACAAATGTGCAAGCCCACTTGAAATGCTCAGCTATCAGGCAAAAGTTAATATTTCTTAAAATACTTCAACAATTGAATATGGATGAAATATGAACTAAACAGCTTGAAATATAGCTAATATTACAAAAATAATTCTAATAGAGAAATATTCATTTTCTGGTCTTTTTAACAATATACAAAACTCGTTATGCCAAAATTGCTGGTATTCTAGTTTTTATTACTAGCCCCCTCTATTACTGAAGCATTGAAACACTTTCCTCGCTTTCCAAATAAGAGGAAAGCTACATCTCTTTCTTTTCTTCAGAGGATTTCTCAGAGAGAACAAAATTTGTATCATTCGAAAAGGGGTCCACAGAAACTTTGTTCCGAATATTACCAGTTTTGTCAGCAAGACCTAAGGGTACAGTCTCATCAGAGCTATGTAAAATGACCCAGGGCTGTTTTATTTTGCCAATGCTCTTTTTGAAATCTGTGAAACCTCTTCATTTGTAAAGCACTGGTAAGGGCACCTCTTGAAAAAGTCTTTCAAGCTCATGCCTTTGTTCCCTTGGTTATTTTCATGACTTCTTTTATGTAAGAACTGTGTAGGCAAACTTCCAACAAGGAGGTCTTTTCTTCCAGTCTTTCCTACAAACAACATTATGAAATAATTTATTGTCAATATGAATACAAGATAAAGAAAATTTGAGTTGCCCCCCAACTTTGCTTCTAATTTTGTTAGATATTTTTGTCTCAATGACAGTTGATGATTTTGACACTTTTCTCAGGGGGACTTTCGTCCCATCAGACTATTGCCTGCTTTGTTTATTCAACGGTGACACTGTTGATATTCTCAGTCGACCTATCACCAGCAACTGATTGATAGGAGTTGTGGGGGTCGTGACAGCTCCCCCCAATAATAAGTCAAAAATCGATTGAATTCCTAAGTAATATTTATATAACCTATTTCGTAGCCCCCCTACCCCCGAAAGGATTTTTTAATGAGATCTGCATCCAATCTTAATAATAAAACTCTTATAAAATAATAGGCAAAAATAATAATCAATGAAAGAAGTAATGAAAGTTACAGTGACTTACCGATCCTAAAGCAATGTTGATCAAAATGCCTTGCGCAGATGTAGGCCCTCTCTGCGTTGAAACTCCTATCGCATCTTTTTACTTTACACAAAAGCTGCGTTCTCCACTCCTTTTTTCTTTCATTTTTCGTTGAAAACGTAACAAGGGACAAATTAGCTTATCTTGGTAAGTCTACAACAGTTAACTACCGTGCCGAATAGCTGCGAAGCTCGTCATTATCAGTCAAAACCAAACAAACCGGAAATGATCATTCCCTACAAGTTTGAATAAGCAGTGATGCGTAACATGTTCTATTGTCCGCTTCGCAGTTTCCTATCCAGTCACTATTCGAGTATCTTTGGTTAATCCTAACCATTGTTCAGTTGAGTTGTTATTATTCGACCGATGTGTACAGTTGTTTCTCTCTGACTAAGATCTATTTGTGATAAAACAAGAATATAACATTGGCGACGAGGAGAAAATTTCGTTTCTCATGTTGTGTTACAATTTCTTCAAGTAGTCATGTCTCAACTTCCATCTGTTTCGATCAAACCAGTAGCAGAATTTCGTCCTCATGCGGAAGTGGGAGCAAGCCTTGCCACCCGTTGGAACGACTGGCTGGGTGATTTCGAAATGTTTTTGGTAGCTAGTGGAATTACTGATAACACACGTAAACGCGCACTGCTGTTGTATCAAGCAGGACCGAGAGTCAGAGAAATTTTTAAGAATTTAACCGATGCTGGTGAAGCAGATGACTTCGACTCTGCGAAGGCTAAACTAACCGAGTATTTTGAACCTCAAAAGAATCGGCGGTATGAAGTTTATAGATTTAGACAAGCAACTCAAGCACAACAAGAAACTCTTGATCAGTTTCATACCCGTCTAAGAACTATGGCTCACATGTGTGAATTTCACGATGTCGAATTTGAAATAGAAGAGCAAATCATCATAGGAGGGACGTCATCAAAAATTCGGAAAAGGGCACTGCGAGACCCCAATTTTGATTTAAAGGCCATGCTGTTAGAAGGTCGCAGGGACGAACAAAGTACACTACAAGTCAAGGAAATTGAGTCTAAGGATAAAAATTTTGCTGAAGCTAATAAGCTCACAACACGCCATACACAGGGCCCATTAAAGTGTTTCAGTTGTGGAGGATCATATCCACACACAGGGACTTGCCCTGCAAAGGGTAGAGAGTGTAAAATGTGCAACAAACAAGGCCATTTTGCAAATGTTTGTCGTGAGAAAACTTCAGGCAACAAATTTCGGCAACAAAGGGGCCCTCGCAACCAAAACAGAAAACCAAAGACCGTGCATTCTTTGGACAATACACCGTGCATGCTTTTGAAAATATGCCATCATCAGATGAGGATTATTTGTATGCTGTCAATAACGGACATTCCAAAAGCCCTAAAGTCGCTGTAACGGTTTGCGACACAGTTTTTCAGATGACAATTGACACTGGCGCCGCGATTAATGTTATTGATCAAAACACCTTTTCACGTATGAAAGATGTTAATTTGCAGAAAACAAATATGAAAGCTTTTCCATACAGCAGTTCAAAGCCTGTTCATTTGAAAGGACAATTCAATGCTGTCATAGAAACAAAGAACCGTCTCACTCTTGCTACGTTTTATGTTATGAATGACTCAAGCAGCGGAAATCTTTTATCATCGTCTACAGCAATGGATCTTGGCCTAATAAGCCTTCATTTGAATACATTATCAAGAAACGACACTCAGATTGATGAAATACTCAATAAATACCCGGAAGTGTTTGATGGACTTGGTAAGCTGAAAGATGACACTGTTACTTTAAGTATTGATCACAGTCAGACGCCCAAAATTCAGCCTCAGAGACGTATTCCTTATCATATGCGTCAGAAGGTAAAAGAAGCTCTTAAAAAATTGGAAAAGGAGGATACTATCGAGCGTGTACCAGCCGATAACGGGACACCTTGGGTTTCTCCTATAGTCATTGTGCCAAAAAAGGATGGGGCGGTCAGAATATGTGTTGATATGCGCGTCGCTAATAACGCAATTAACCGCATACGTCACCCTATTCCTACAGTAGATGATGTGAGCTGTGCACTCAATGGTGCGAAGTTTTTCTCAAAACTAGATCTCAGCCAAGCTTATCATCAACTAGAACTGAGTGAAGAAAGTCGTAACATTACTACTTTTTCAACTCAGGTTGGTTTATTTCGTTATAAACGTTTGAACTATGGTACAAACGCATCTGCTGAAATATTTCAGTATACCTTACAGAAAGCATTGCAAGGTTTGAATGGAGTTCAAAATATCGCTGATGATATTGTTGTATATGGAGCTACATGCGAAGAACATGACGCTAATTTAGGCAAATGTCTGGAACGTTTGAAGAATAAAGGACTTACTTTGAACAAAAGCAAGTGCAAGTTTCTAAGTGAAACTTTGGATTTTTTCGGTCAAATCTTTTCAAAAGATGGAACACGCCCTGATCCTAAGCGTGTGAATGACTTGCTCAATGCAGCAGTTCCGAAAAATGCTCATGATGTAAGAAGCCTACTTGGTACGGCGAACTATAGCAGTAAGTACATACCAAACTTTGCCACTATTACTGCTCCTCTCCGAGAGTTAACTAAGAAAAATGCTCATTTTTCTTGGAACACCGAACACCAGGCTGCTTTTACAAAGCTTACTACAGCCTTATCGTCTGCTCCTTGTATGTCATATTTTGACAAAAATAAAGAATCCTATGTACTGGTAGATGCAAGTCCAGTGGGACTATCAGCTATATTGTCTCAAAAGACAACAGGACAGAAGATCAAACAGTTATTGCATATGCGAGTAGAGCTTTAACGGATGTAGAGACAAGATACTCGCAGACAGAGAAAGAAGCATTGGCTATCGTATGGTCAGTGGAAAATTTTCATCTATATCTATATGGACATCCTTTTACGTTAATTACAGATCACAAACCGTTAGAAGTGATCTACGGCAATCGCAACTCTAAGCCCTCTGCACGCATTGAGCGTTGTGTTTTGCGTTTGCAACCGTATTCATTCAATGTCATATATAAGCCAGGCATTGATAATCCAGCTGATTATTTGTCAAGGCATCCCGCTCCTAACAGTGGTAAAAAGCAACAAATTATGACTGAAGAATATGTGAATTTCATAACTGAACACAGCGTACCTAAAGCTATGACATTAAAAGAAATTGCAGATGCAACTTCTGAAGATCATGCTCTTAAAGGTCTTCGAGCCGCGATACGATTGAACCAATGGAGTTCAATTGCAAAGTCTTTTAGCAGCTGTAAAGATGAATATACAATTGGAAAAGGCAACATTATCCTTCGAGGGACAAGGATCGTGATTCCAAATTCACTACAGCAAAAAGCAATCGATTTGGCTCATGAGAGTCATCAAGGTTTGTCGAAAACCAAAGCTCTTCTTAGAGAGAAAGTCTGGTTTCCAGCTATAGATGAAATGGTAAAAAAGACTATAGATTCGTGCATAGCATGTCAAGCGGTTGGTCAAGCAGCACCACCAGAGCCTATGCAACCCTCAGACATGCCATCTGGGCCATGGGAGAAGTTACATATCGACTTTTGTGGACCATTACCATCCAATGAATACTTATTGGTTGTCGTCGATAGGTACTCGCGTTACCCAGAGGTTGAAGTAGTTAAATCGACAAAAGCTTCATGTGTAATACCGAAACTTGACAAAATGTTCGCTACACACGGCATTCCCGTTGCAATAAAAACCGATAATGGACCACCATTTTCAAGTGAGGAGTTGCGTCGATATTGTAATGCATTGAATATCAAACATGAATTCTCAACTCCATATTGGCCTCAAGCCAACGGCGAGGTTGAACGCTTCAATCAGCCACTTGAAAAAGCCTTACAGACAGCTGCCATTGAAGGAAAAGTTTGGCGTCAAGAGCTGCAAAGGTTTTTACTCCAATATCGTTCAACGCCGCATTGCACAACAAAAGTTGCTCCAAGCCAATTGCTATTTAACAGGAAAGTTCGTGGGAAAATACCAGAAATTACTGGCAGAATTGTGATTAATAAACACAAAGATGCTCGCGAAAATGAAATTAAGAGTCAGAACTATCACACGAAATACGCAAATCAACGTAGAAATGCTAAAGAAAGCTCTATAGCAGTTGGTGATGCAGTTCTAGTTAAACAACAACGCCGCAACAAGATCACATCTCGTTTTAATAAGACACCGTACTTGGTTGTTGAAAGGAAAGGAACACAAGTAACTGCAGAAAACAGCCAGAAACACCGAGTCACGAGAAATGTATCTCACTTCAAGCGATTCAATAATTCTGTAATTCGCGCAGAAGAGTCGGAAACAGATAGTGATGTTGGTAATGAAGTAGCAGAACAACGTACTTCTCAGGAACACCGAAATAAACAGACAGAAACTGGAACTGGAGTTATTGGTCCAGAAAATCGTTGTTCTCAAAGATTGAGAAGACCACCAGAAAGATTTGGCGAAGCTATGCCATCGAACATTATCACATGAACAAATAACTTCTCAAAAGGGGAAGTGATCTAATATAGTGTAAACATGGACACCCTATGTCGTGATCCTTGTGATATTTTAATATGTTGTTGTTGTTAATCCTAACCATTGTTCAGTTGAGTTGTTATTATTCGACCGATGTGTACAGTTGTTCTCTCTGACTAAGATCTATTTGTGATAAAACAAGAATATAACATTGTTTAGTTACGAACAATGACGTTTACTTCCGCTTTTATTGCACGCTGTCATGCTGTGAGCTGTAAGAATTTACTTCGTCTAAGTTTTCGTTCGAGTTGTAATCGCCGTTATGTTATGGATGAATTTATCTTAAATCGCTTGTTTCTGTGCGTAAAACTCCTGATTTTAACACTTTCAGCTTGTCGAATGCGGTTTGGTGCTTTTGTTCCCATGTAAATGTGAAACCTGTTTTTGTCAATTCACGGAGAGGGGTAGCAATGGTGGCAAAGTTGGCGATATATTTGGAACTGAATGTCACCATGCCTAAGAAACTGCGCAGTTCTGATACATTTTGTGGTATAGCAGCATCAATAACATCCTGTGTTTTGCGAGGGTCAGGTCGTGTACCTTGCTCTGAGAAAATCTGTCCAAAGAACTCTAACTCAGTATTCAGAAAACTGCATTTCGACTTGTTCAAGGTAAGACCTTTCTCTTTAAGGCGTTTAAGGCAATTTTCAAGAGCCTGATCATGCTCTTGACGTGTACTTCCAAAAACTAGGATGTCATCGGCTATATTCTGAACACCAGCCATTCCTTGCAAGTGTTGCTGTAACGTATGTTGAAATAGTTCAGCGCTTGCATTAGTTCCGAAGTTCAAGCGGGTATAACGATATAGTCCGAGATGAGTGCTAAAAGTAGTAATGAAACGACTGTCTGGGTGCAACTCTAATTGATGATATGCCTGGGACAAATCAAGCTTTGAAAAGAATCTAGCACCATTCAACTCTAAACTGATATCAGCTACTGTTGGAATCAAGTGACGTACACGTTTGATTGCAGTGTTTGCTGCGCGCATGTCTACACATATTCTGACATTGCCATCTTTCTTGGGTACTGCAACTATTGCCGACACCCATGGTGTTGGTTGAGAATCAGGCACCTTTTCAATAATTCCTTGACTTTCAAGCTCTTTTATGGCTACCTTGACCTTTTTCCTAATGTGGAAAGGAATTCTACGTTGTGGCTGAGCAACTGGAGGTACACTTGAGTCAATGTTCAATTTAACCTGGTGATTCTTTAATTTACCAAGGCCTTGAAACACAGAAGAATACTGTTGTAGAATTTTGGCTAGACTGTCGTCCTGGAGATTTTGGCTTTGTACAGCATTTAATTGAAGCTTAATAAGGCCTAATTCCTGTGCAGTCTGAAGTGAGAGTAAACATCCGCTGTCCTTCCCTTTTACCACATAGACTGTTCCCACAGTGCATTTCTTCTTGGTTTCAATAATGCTTTCGAATTTTCCAAGAAACTCAACTGGTATTTTACTCTGATAAGGATATGCCTTTGTGCTTGTGCGCAGGAGCTTAACATTTTTTAGATTTGCAAAAGTGTCAGCATCAATCACATTTATTGTAGCACCACTGTCCACAAGAGCTTTGAATTTGTGACCTGCAACAGTAATCTATACTTGTGGTGTGCGTGGACTGGCTGAAGACATTGCGTACATATATTCATCCTCAGAACTAGAAGAATACTCAGTATGTTTGAGTGGGCGAATTCTTGGTTTGTGCTTTCGATGTGGTCTGCCTCCTTTGTTTCTGCGATCTGTTTTGTCTCCTTTACTTCTACAAACGACCGCGAAATGACCTTGTTTACCACAGCTTCCGCATTGCTTTCCTTTTGCAGGGCATTCCCCTTTGTGAGGGTAGTCCCCTCCGCAAGTATAGCATTTCTTGCCTTCTTTGTTGACAGATTAAAAAGGATGTACAACAGCAGCAGTATTCTCATTATATTCAATCTCTCGAGTTTGAAAGGAACTCATTTCTTCACGTCTTCCATCCAGTAACATTTGTTTCAGATCGTAGGTAGGGTCACGTAGTGCCCTTCGACGAATTCGCGAGGAAATACCACCAACAACAATTTGCTGTTCGATTTCGAATTCTAAATCTTGAAATTCACATGCAGTAGAAAGGGCTCGTAAACGTGTATGATATTGATCTAATGTTTCCCCCTGCTCTTGCTTGGTCTCACGAAACCGATAAACCTCATAACGGCGATTCTTTTGAGGCTCGAAGTGGGTGGTAAGCTTCGTCTTCGCTGTATCGTAATCATCAGCATTCCCTACATCTTGTAAATGTTGAAAAATTTCCCGAACACGACTGCCTGCCAGGTAAAGTAATAAAGCGCGTTTCCTTGTTGCATTGGCAATTCCACTGGCAGTTAAAAACATTTCAAAATCTGCAAGCCATGTCTGCCATTTTGAAACAAGACTCGCTCCTAGTTCAGCATCGGGCTGAAACTCGGGCACTGGAGGTATTTGGAAACCTTGAGCCATTGTCGCATTTACCTCGTCGCCATTATAAACTCTGTGAGTTGTAGTAGTATGGAAAGAAATACTCTCTTCGAATAACAACAAGATCTGTAATTCTCATGTGCATCTAACGTGCTCGCATGCTTGCTTATTCTAATTAATCCTTTTTACCCCTGTGTCCAATACATAACATATGTCATTACTACAATAATATGAAGCATCACAGGAACAATTAACTGTTTATTTTTTCGAATTTTTTCGATGAGCTCAAAAATGTTCATCAAAAATATAAAAACATTAGAGATAAAATTCTATTAAGAAATTGGATCGTAAAATGTCCTACGAATATCATCATGCTGCCATGGTAGTTCAACATAAGGAGAAAGAACAAAATTTGGAAGCAAAGATTGAATTCTGAAACTTTTGTGTAACTATTTAGAAAAAATTTTTCCCAGACCTTGCATAATTACACTATCAGAGACTTCATTACTGCAAGTATAGATGAAGAAAAAAACAATTTATCTTTTCAGTTCTACAGATTTGTAAGTCATAAACCTGATGATAATTCATCGAGAAATGGGTTGCTCAGCAATACAAAATAAACAGTTATTTTTGGCTTTAAAGAAAAGATGGTCTAGGAAAAAGATTGAACTTACAGGTTTTATAGACATGGTCGTTATTCTTCTGTATTTGCATTTACATCAAACAAAATATTGCGTTTTATGGCAAGCCTATACTGCGTAAAAGATTTATGATCGAAAAGCCATTCAGTTCGTGCATTCAGATATAATTAGTTCGCGTTCGTGTATCCCTCCTTAAGAGGTAAATGATAAGCAAATCTTGATTTATTTTTTGTCTTTTCAATTATAAATAAAATTTGTCAAGAAAAAAGGGTTCGATGACCAAAAAATTTTGTTCTATTCAATAACAGTGGATTTAAAAGTGGTGTAAATTTTTCAATTAAAATTGTATAGCTTAGGCAAATTAATATGTAATTTTTTGCATTTCATTTAATCAAATAATTTTCAAAAACAGCTTTATAAAAGGTATCGAACAAAATTCGAAAAACTAAACAGCTAACTGTTCCTGTAATGCTTCATATTATCTAAGCTTATGCGAGCTATATAGGTCAATGCATTGTCGAAAAAGCTTGATTAGCTGAGAATAGTTTGCTTTGCTTAAGTTAGTCACCTTAATAATTCTTAAGTTTTAAACAGTTCAATTTTTAAAGCACATTTGCACTTGTCGCCTTTATAAGACATCCAATCCCTCAGGGCTTTGCTCTAGTTGCTTTGCTTTTGCTTTCAATATGCATAAAGACATAATCCACTCAACACCAAATGCATGTGATTAAAAACAGCTCAGCTAAGGAATCTGATTGGAACACCATTGCTGCAGGAATATTTGTGTAAGAATAGTTGAAAATGAAATGAAAGGTTTTCTCACATAAACAGAATATCAATTACATTAGCATAATTACAAAAAGTAAATATGTTTAAATGAGAGAGGTCACGTTATATTTTGAGAGACATTGCTTGTTATGAAAAAAATAGCATGCTACAACAGTTTCATTAACACAAATCTATTGGTCATTTCTTTCTTTCCCATCCTCTCTTCTATTTGAGCCAATGTAATCTGAAAATGGAACCAATCTTCTGTAGAAACCAGCGATCAATGCGATGAAAGTTGGGATGATTAGTGTCAAGGTGACAAAAAGCCATCTGGGGCCATAATTGGCAAATAATGGTACCATTGCCACTGGTCCAAGAAACCTTGCAAACGATCCAAAGGCCGATAGAATGGCCATAAACAAACGCTATTTAAGAGAGAAATTGAAGAAGGAATTGAAATAATCAATTATTTGAAAATCAACTGCAATAATAAAAAAAGGACTTTCACTTGCAAGTCTATCATTGTTTTGAATACATGTTGGGAAGTAATCATTTTGTATGAGAGCCTATGATATCAGTTTGTTGCAATATTGTTAAGTTCACAACGTCGCAATACTTACTTCGTTCGAAAATCAAATTCTAACGCAAGTTTAATAAGTTTGAAATTATTATATATTCTTTGTTACAGGTTATCCAGACAAAACATTGCATTAGCCAACAATAGTCGTCGATTTGCTTTATAGTGACAAAATTCGATACCGCAACAACAAGTACAAAAAAAACGGCGAAAAAGCACAAGGTGCCAGAACTGCTTTCTTGGCCCAACAACTTTAGGGTACAACGATGGAGCGACCAAAGTTGCCATGCAAGTGCCCATATTGTAGACCAAATTTGCAACCAGATATTGAGAAAGGTATATCTTTGGTGTGGATTTGCACCAACTGTATTGAATTGAGCAGCCTGAAGACAAGACTGTCTTTGTTGCATTTCCAACTTGGAAATCTTCTGCAAAACAAGTACAGGCCATTTAAGCATTTTTGCCTGTGTTTATGTTTTTGCAGCAATACATTGTGCCAGTGAGAGCTTTTAGCCAAATGTAGGAGGCATGGGGGCATATTTGCTGGGTACTTAAAAGTCCTAGATTAAGCACAAGGTTATACAACTGTAAGCATTTCTACATGGGCTTTAGGCAAAGTAGCTTTTACAAAATTAGATAAAGCTGCCCTAAAATTCAATTTTTTGCCAAAACAACTGTTGAATGTTCTTTTTTCTATTGTGCCTGAATTAAGTTAAGGCGAGTTGAGGGGAGCTAATTAACAATAAATTATTCAGTATAAAGGCTGATTCAGGGGAAACTTTGATGAAAGTAGTCCATTACTGGCTTCTTTAAGTCTCTGCTACCTTTCATTTGCCTCTTACAGAGAGCGAACGTCAGAAATTATAACATCTGGAAAGACAAAAAGCATTCTAGCCAATTACCCCTAAATTGTATTCTTGAGAAAACCTCTTCTTGAGTAAATTCTAGAAATGATTCTGTCTGAAGAACATAAGTACTTCAGACAACACTCAAATTCATTCATGCTTCAGAACGCTTTTAAATATTCCATTGCTGCACACTTCTATACATTAGCATCTACTTTCTTTCTGTTTACCCTGTATTCGTAATTAGTCTACCTAGTTTTAGTAATCTTTCTTTCTATCCTTGTTTAATGCTGTGTGTTTTTATGTATTGGCAATCAGGCAAAAATTTAATAGTGCAATCAGGGCGAAAACACCAGATCCGGACAAAACCATCCCTGCGTAAAAGATAGCTTGAGCTTTGTTCCAGCCAAACTCTGCTTGCATCAGTGGTGTTGCTACCCTAAAGGTGAGCAATTGAACAAAAGTTTTGCTGGCATAAAATTTCATAGAGGGAGATGTCATTTGTACCTTGAAACAATGATGCAAAAGTAAGAGCACATAGTAAAATGGTGCAGACATTTACAAAAAGTAACAAAAATGGATTTGGTACATCCTTTTGGATGGGCTTATAAACGAAAAAATAAGTTGATATTTTGACATAGTTTGTTTGAAAAAGATTAAATGAAATATCATCACATTCGTACGTTTCAGTGAGGGGAAAGACAAAGAAGAGGAAGGAACACGGCAACGGTCACAATCACAGCACCCATATCTGGTTTTGGAAGTTCACCAAAAAAATATCATTTTGTAGCAAATGAAATATACATTTTCAATACTTTATAACTGACGCTAGGTCATCTGCTGCTATGTCGTTAGCTACTAGTTGGTTGGAAAGTCTTTGAAAAATGGCTTTGAAAAAGGAAAAGTTTGAGTATACTAAAGCTTTCCGTCTGATACTCTTTAGGGTATAAATCATCATTTCATTGCATGAAAACTCTACGCTAGGAAATGTATATACCCAGTTGTGGATCGAAACAGGGAAATCAGAAACGACAGCACATGACTGTTGAAGTTACCCAGTCAGTGCCGCTTGCCTATATAGAATGATACCGATGGGGGTTTTTCTTTGTTTTGGGCAAAAGGAACGAAACCCTGAAAAAGAAACGAAGGGGGAATGTCTAAATTTATAGGCTTCAATACTGTGCATTTATTAAAAAATCCCTAAAATTATGTTTGTACCATTGAAAAAATCCATTAGTAAATGGTAAAAAATAGGAAGATAGATGATCTATTTTGGTGGGATAACTGCTTTGGAATTCTTGTTAATTTCTATGTTGTATTCTTTCAGAAAAAGCAGAAATAGAAGGAAAGGGAAGATCTCGAAGACAATTCCAATCCAGCCAGCTACGTTGTATATGTCGATGTTCAATAACGAAGAATGACCTTTTCCGCCGATGATAGGGACTGCAACAGACTGCAAAGCTGTTCGAAAACAACTGAAATTTAGAAAAATGTTATAAATAGAATCCTATTAAAAGTGAAATAATAATAATAAAGTATTCTACTTCCCATGTTATTGAAATGAGCTTTTGAAATGAACTTGTTGTAATGAAACTAGCTTCCTTCTTGGAGTAAAACACTTAAGCTTTATTTTTACGAATCATCTGTTAGCTTTATGATTGCTTATGGTACAAAATATAAAGCTTTAATCGTGTCTAGAGATATCTCGTGACACCAATTTATTCTGCAGCTCAAGAAGAAGGAAAGAGTGTCCTTTATAAGCAGATTTCCTGACAAGGCAGGGAATTTGATTTCCTTTCCATATGCCCAACCAATTCCTCATGAAATCGATTTATGGTTATTTCGGCAACATTTGAAAATATCTTAAGAGGTATGGTCAATGATTAATGCCCCGGCTACCACGATTCCCAATTCACCATAAAACGTTCTCAACATGAGCAGAAGAGAACATTTTATTTTAAAGGAATGAAAAACAAACAATTGACCGGATTTCTTTAATAGTTTTTCCAACAAAGCACATGCGCTAAGATTTGTAAGCTATGGCTTATTGTATCGAGCCACTCTTGGTCGGAATCGAACTCCAGTTTGCTGCTTTGAGAACCAACGCTTATCCCACTGAGCCAAGCAGCCCAAAGCGAAGAATCTCCGAAGCCAACACTGGAGATTTCACCGTAGCCAAGGCAGTTTTTGTTCATTCTGTCTCGGCTTTAAGCGTTCGTCAAAACAATTTTAACCATAGGTATATAATCACAAGGCAAGGGCTAGTATATATATATATAGAACAGAAAACCTAGTGGTTTGAATAGGATAATCAGATTTCAGAAAGAAAATTTAGTCTTTTTTATCTCACTGATATCTTTGTCTAGACTGATCCATGAACATCAAAGTCAAAATAGAATTTTCCTTTTAATTGGAAGATTTGATTTCCTTGTGGACATCGATTTTTCGGAAACTTTTTGGCTAAGACATAGTCATGGTTAAGAGGTCTCTGGAATGTTTGAATTCAGTTATTTGCTTTATTTTAAAGAATAAAGGAAATGTTCTTTTACCTGTACCAATTGGGTAACAAATAAGCATCAAGAAAGTGATGACTGCGAAAGCATTTCTACTTTCAGATGTTGTTGTTGACTGAGGAATGATAGCACGGCAGACAGCTTTGTCACCTAAGCAGACATTGTAAACCTGAATGATTTCTAAAGCAGGCACAAAAAAGTTGCAAGGATGCTTTTAAATGTCATTTGATTTTACATGTAATCGATTTTTTTTAGAAAATTACAAAAATGTACCTTTTTTTGCGATACAGAATTTGAAAATGGCTTTGAAAAAAGCAAACATTTTACGACATACTAAAGGCTTTTTCGTCTGGCACTCCTCAGAGCATAAACCTCAGATGAAGGTTCCGGAAGAACACGATGGAGAATATATACCCAGTTGTGTTCCAGTTGAATATTTTCTATCGTGTTTTTTCGGAACCTTATTCTGACGTTTATGCTCTGAGGAGTGTCAGACGAAAAAGCTTTTAGTATGTCGTAAAATGTTTGCTTTTTTCAAAGCCATTTTCAAATATGTACCTCCCTTACAAATATTACCTGCTTTAGATTTTTGAGTACAATAAACATAAAACATTTTCTGAACTGACCAAAGTAATTTTAGGGTAAACTCAGCTAGTTTTCCTAAGGCAATGAAACGAGTACTGCAATGTTAACGCTGGCTCACATTTTTGCAAATCCAAAGAAAAAACTCTGGTCTGAGAGACTATTATTCTGTTCTTTTGCTCTCATCTAGAACTTGAAAACACTTTCATTCTAATCACGTGACCTAAAAAAGGGACATGATGAAACACTCTCACATCTCCCAATGGGAGATGCACAGCGCATATAGGCGACCCATATGTTTCAAAAACAATGATTCTTTGGCTTTGAAAACTTGCTCATTTGCACGGGTCTGAGGTAAAAATTTCTGGGTTTTAAAGTCTGTCTTCGCGATTAATAATACTAACTTTTAAAAAATCATTTTCTTAAACCCGAGAACAGATGATAGCTGATAAAATGTGTGCCAAATTTTAGAAAATGAAAGAATTTTACTTATGATATTAAGTTTTATTAGAGGGGGCCAAGGCCACCTGCCTCCTTTTATCTCGGTCCTTGCTCCAAAGTGATGATGTTGAAGGCGCACTGTCCATCGTGTATTCCTCTAACAATTCTTTGACAAGTTTGTTGAACACACCCTATACAGTTCCTTGAGCTTCAACCATATCAGTATGTCACTTAAGCGACATCTTGCAGCAACTTCTTTGACTTTATCAATGTTCTACGAAGGCTTGTATTTTTGTTTCAAAACTCCTATCAGGTCTATAGACAGGACTTTTAGGATTTCAATACTTAAATCCCTCAATTTGCTTGAACATACTACAAAATGATATTTTTCAAGAAACATAGAATTGACTCTTCCTTAACTTATTGAACTAAAGATATTATCTCGCACATGGATGTAGTGGATGTTAAACTTTCTTGTTGTTAGTAAGCAAGACATTTTCCTTTATAGTAACATGTTATTTGCTAATGTCTCTCACCAAATTCAAACCTATAGGGCCCTCCTGACTGACAACTTGTGGTGTTGGAGGAATCCAGCCACGGAAATTTTATTATTTACCTGTCGACAGGCCAATTATAAGCTTTGCAGATAGAATCAACATTTTTCCATGAAAACCATGATATTTTTCAGGAAGCACATAAAAAAGTTTCCAATAATGCGAATGAAGATGCATGCTATCAGTGGCTCTTTTGCTGGTCGGTACTGGTACCAGGAACCAAGCAGAAATGAGCCAACTACTTGGCCAAGCAGAAACCACCATTTGTACAAGCGAGAAATTGGGGAGTGACCGTAGGATCAATCTATAAAATTAAAGACACTTATAATAAACCTGTTGGGATTTTTCATTCATGCCAGCGCATTTAATATAGCACAGCAAAACGTGCTTTTCGCATAGAGATTTGTTTTTTCTTCTTGTTAATTCATAGAGTTGCTTGCGTAATTAATGTTTGTGTAGGTATCCGTCATAGATTTGGTTAACGAAGTGTTGGGCTGACTCAGGCTAATCATGGGCTCACTCAAGCTATTCATCGGTCTAAACAAACAGCATTTTAAAGTTATTCATAAAGAATCTTTGACGTAAAATTTTTATTCTGTTTTTCTAAATGCTGATTGGTAGATATTTTAGTTCTTGTAGATCAAAAGTATATAAAACGTCAGATTGTGAGGTAAGAAGCGACAGAAACGGCGATAGAGAGATAGATAATCAGTAGCGAGGTGTGCAGTATACAATGAAGAAGGACTGGATACAACTGTTGTGTTTCCCTTGGTGTTCTCTTGGCACTTTAACATGAAATCTGTGAACCAGCAGATAGTTCTGGTGTTGGTACACTAGATAATTTCTACAACACCCTCATAAACGAGTTTTGTTAAAAAAAAGGGGGTTGCATTTCATGGCTCTTTTTGCAAAAGGGTTGTTTAGATAAAAAAGCTCATTGAAAAACAAATTCTATCAATATTACAGCTTTGGTTTATGAAATATCGAAAATAATACTCACGCTAAGGCTTATAATAATAATTGACCTTGCAAAGACTATTATACAACATAATATACCTCTATTGTTTAAACCTTGTCATCAATATTCTTTCTAATTGCATTGCGCCTTAGATATACCGTTCTACTTTCCCGTTACTGTTTGCTTTTATCACAAGCGATAATGGCGTTCCTATTATCAATCATTTTGTGCTTTCAGTGCCAAAAAAACATCTATTCTGCTCATAGAAATCATAGCTCTTTTATTGCTAATGAAAATCATGGCACTGTTCTAGCTGTTGCCTAAGTATTGCTTTTCGATAATATGCTTTAAAAGAATATAAAAGAATCTTGCCTTCTGCAGATATGGCAATAATGACGGCAGGGTAATTGAAAACTCTAGAATAAATGGAAACAAATATACTTTGAACATTTTTTTAGGGATCAAGTTTTTATAGTCTAGCTTGTTTAACATCCTTGATTTAGATTTTTGAAATATGTTTTCCAATACCCTTTTTCTCAAGCAAAGCCAAGAAGACGCTCAATGTTGAAAAGTCACGTGGGCTGTAAAAGGAATAGTTTTTCACAGTGACATTTCTAAACCTCTACCTAGACGTTGCCAAATCTACGCATATAGCTGTGCAACTCTATCGCAAAAAGAAATTTCGAAAGAATATTGGCTTCATTTAATCAGATCAGATTTCATTTGATCTTACATTATTTTGCTTTTGTTTGAATCATCATATAACAAAATTGATAGTATTTACAAAGAACCAAATAATTTTATATTTTTTATAACAGGAATTGAGTCAAGGTTTTGCTCTTACATCTGAATGCAGATTTGGGAAAAATCCATCGTTTATTCTTTTTAAGCTAAGCAAATGATACTTACCCATTGCACTGAGTAAGACGGCTAAGTAAATGACACGAATTGATCTCCATCTAGCTTTGTATTCTTTTGCAGATTCGTGGTGACCACAATCTTCTACGTCACTTTCTTCTGAATCTCTGCAATAGAATAAATAGCAGATATGAAAGATTGTGCTTTGAAAAATCATATACAATTGATTAACAGATAAGCGAAAGGATTAAAGGAAACGATCATTCAAATCTTTGCATCTCTACAATAATACTAATGTGCGGATATGCAAATGAGCTCGCTCCGTTGATATCGGTCCGATTACATCTGATATCGGTCCGTTCCCATCGAAAGTTCTTGCACGAACTCCGCAAAAACTGCTACACCCCTTGAACTGAGCTTCGGTAGTTCGGTTCCTCTGGGGTTGCGATTGTGTGGAAAGGTCTCGAATCTTCGTTTGCTCGCTTCCTTCGCTCCGAATTTGCGACGTGTCTTCTCTCAATGGGCCTTGCTCAACGAGGCCATTTTCTTTGCTAACGCTTCGCTCTCTTTGTTTGTCTTTTCAAAGACTTTTTCTAGCGCTTTCCTGGATGTTTTGAAAACGTCGATTGTCATCCAGTCAGTAGTTGTTGATTGAAAACCTTGACCTTTGATTCTAAAGCGAATATCCCTTTTCATCCCCAACTTTTTTGAGAGAGATCGAGTACCTTTTCAAAGGATTTTTCAAAACATTTCCTCCCTCTCTTTGATGGGTAAAATACTGGCTTTCGCGTTCGCGTTTCTAAAGGTTCTTTCTCTCTCTTTTCTCTTGCTCTCTACAAAAGGTTTCAAAACTTCTTCCTCCAGCAACCCTTCAATTTGAACGGAGGCTTTTCAAATCCGTTTTGCTTTCCACAAAGAAGCTACTTTGTGCCGATAATTTCGGTGATTTGGAATTGGATGATAAACCTACGTGCACTGCAGCTTGGCATTCCTTTTCGAACTCGAAGCAGTTGTCGACGGTCGTGTTCTGTGCTACAGTGCTACAGCTACAGCTACAGGTGAGTCTCGCTAGCTTTTTATAAACTTTTCGTCGTCATTTTCCTTTCCTTTTTATCGATCGATCGATTGAAACCCCGTTTGTTATTATTTCGTTTGCAAAAGGGCCATATAATTCGTGCTTTTGACGATCTTCCTTTTCTTCGTTTTAGTAGCTACGTTTACCCGCTGCTGCCCGTTTTTTGGTTTGCGATGGCTGCTGGCTGTTCCCCTTCTTCACTGGTATCAGAATCGATGTCATGCGAATACAAGTAAGCGTTGTTATTCTTGCGTGTTTTTTATATTACTTATTTCAAATGATTTTGTGCTCATTTCGATGAAATTACACTAAAAACCGGCCGCTAGAACCCCGCCGCGAACGAACAATTTTCACTTCTTCTCGTGGTTTTGTGCTAAAAGGAAACTGGATTGGCTTTATTGCAATCAAAGTATGAAGAATCGTGGTAGATTATTCCTGCTGTTTATTCTTGATGCAAGAAAATTTGATTTTCATAGGAAACCCGTTGTAATGCGAATTTTGTAATCCCGCCAGCCCCCAACTTTTTATGCCTAACGAGAATCCTTTGCAGCAACTTTTCCTAACCGCCTTCCTTTTTTGTAGATAAACGATCGGATTCGCTGACTTTTTGGTACAACAAGTGAGTATTTTTCGATTAAAATTTCACTTTTTCTACGATTTCCCGCTGTGATAAATGGGATTTGCCTGCCCCTTGAGTGAAAATTATTTCTAGCTTTTTGAGAGCATTTTGGGAATTGTAAATAAATCATTCTGGAAACCATTTCAAATGATTTTATGCTTAATTTGATGAAATTACACTAAAAGCCGGTTGCTTACTGCTAGACCCCCGCCGTGAATGACGAATTTCTACCTCATTTCGTGGTTTTGTACTGAAAGGAAGCTGGATTGTTACGGTAGATTGTGCCTGCATCATTCTCGGAATTGTAAATTAATCATTCTAGAAACCATTTTAAATGACTTTCTGCTTATTTGAGTGAAATTACACTAAAAACCGGTTGCTGAAAGGAGTCGCTACAATCCTTGACAAAAGTCCTTGGAACACCCTGTGACCAATGAAAGATTTTGAAGAAATAAAGGTTTCCGGCTGTAAGATACAGATATATCCCCCCTCCCCCCAAAAACAATGTTGGCTGAAAAGACTATTACTTACCCTAGCTGATAAACTGACATTGGACGAATTTCAAGCTTTGAAACTGTTGTTATTCAACATTGTTTCAAGGGGGAGAGGGGGATGCTACTGAATTTATGCGAAATTTTAGCTTGGTGTACCAAGACTTTTGGCAAGGATTGTCTGAGCGCTTTTTTTTAAACCGTTAGTTGCATGAAAATCAATGTTATGGGGGTAGGGGTTCTTGGTAGCGCTGATTTCATTGGCGTCGAAAAAAATTTGATATTTAAAATGGAATTGGCCTAATTTAGCTATTTTTCGAATTTTAGAGATATTATGATTATTATTCACTTGTTTACTTGAATTCTTCAAATTCTGCTCTGTTTTTTTCGAAATTAGATATTGAAAATTCACCAGACTTGCAAGGGAAAAAACAAAAGATGAAAAACAGGAAAATTAAGTATTGCAATTGCTGTTCAAAGCACATGTACGTGTGAAAATGTCTCCAAGATAGAATTTTTGGAATGTCAATGGCGGAAACCTTCCTGTTTCTCACTGTGTCGGTGTTGTATAATTAAACGATAAGCTAAGAAATAAAAACGAAATTGACTATAGTATCAAAAGCAGTTGTTGAGTTGCTCTTTAACAAACATGGTGTTTCATAGCAAAATTAGCGACAGAGAGAGAGCGTTGGCTTGCTACTTGCGAAAGGGAAGGTCTTTGTCGTTTCGAAAAATAGCGGAACATTGCAAGATTTCTGTTTCAAGTGTGGTCCGTATTTGTAAGGAGGGGCCTTCAACTAAACAAGAGAATAAGAGGACAGGTAGACCACCACTGATGAGCAAAAGAGACAAGGCAAGGTTTCTTAGGACTTTCAAGAAGATGCGAGAAACAAATGGAAACGTCAGAGTGATGGATGTAGCAAAGGAATGCCAGATCACACATGTTAGCTACAGGACTTTGGTAAGAGCTCTGCATGATGCTGGATATAGGTTTCTGAATCCTAGAAAGAAGGGTATACTGTCAGCTAAGGATAGGAGGAAGAGAGTATCATATGCCAGGGATGCTTTAAAGAAACATGACAGAAATTTTTGGACGGACGATGTTTTGATGTATCTGGACGGAGTTTCATTCCATCACAAACAAAATCCGTATAACGACGCTTTGTGCCCAAGGGGACGAGTGTGGAGAACAAAAAAAGAGGGCCTTGTGTTTACAAGTAAAGGATCGAAGAACTTGCCTGGAGGGCGTACACTACATTTGTTGGTTGGTGTTTCCTATTCGGCAGGGGTTGTTGTTGCGGAGGAGTACGAGAAGATGAACGCCCGGTGGTTCGCAAAATTTGTGCATGAGACATTGGACAGCACTCTCAGAGAATGTGCAGCGATGAAAAAGAAGGAAAAACTGTTATTCGTTATGGACAATGACCCAGTCAAAGGAGCAAATTGGCAAGCGATGCTTTAGAAGAAGTGGGTGCTGAACTTGTTGAGATACCAGCAAGATCACCGGACTTGAATCCTATTGAAAATTTATTTAATATTATAAAATGTAATTTGCGACAGGAGGCGTTGAGAGGAAAAATCGTGAAAGAGGACTTTCAGACTTTTAAAGGAAGAGTTTTGCAGGCATTTAGTGACTTTGATGTAACTGTTATAGATAGAACTATTCGAAGCATGCATGATCGTTTGAGCACTCTAGCCATAAATGATGGATATAGAACTAAATACTAATTCAAAAAAACTTAAAAGTGTTTTTTTGTATGAAAGTTTCTAACTTATGTATCATAAAATTTGAACTGCAGCTTTGAAATTGCTTTTGTTCTCTATGGATTTGTTTCTCTGTAGTGTTTGGCAGCTCCTCCGTAAGCTGCGTGTTTGAAGATTATTTTAAAATACTCATACTAGCAGTTCATCTGAATTTATTGCTTATTGTTTATCAGCAAAATTTTCAAAAAGCCCTTTATAACTGACTAATTAGTATTGTTGTTCAAAGTTCTGGATAACGTCCATTGCTTACGTAATAAAAAGTGATAGAGTTGAATTGGATTGGAAAAATGCTCTTGGCCACGGTTTACCATCACGGTTTACCATTTTAAAAAAGCTTATAAAAAATAACAGGTTGCAGGTATATTTCGGTAGTTTCCGCAAAGGAGGTACATTACAATGTACCACAAGGCTGATAAGTTTCTACGAAACTGGATTGATAAATTTTGAGATTTAGCCAAAAATGTTCACGGTTTACCATTTTTGAAAAAAATGAATCTTAACTGTTCCTGTTCTTAGATGGAAAATGGTAAACCGTGGTGATTTCTTTCAATTACACTCGAATAGGCAAACGCGAGAATGGTTTTTTTTTGTCTTTAGAATGTACATCATAGTGTACCACTTTTTTCGGGGAATTATTTTAAAACTGTCATATAAACAAGAAATTCAAGGGGGTCTACTATAACTAATATGTGAATATGCAAATGAGCTAAAAACGCTGATATTGCTGCTGATCGCCATTGTTTTGCGAGCAGTATCTCCTCTCACGCCGCTGGTCCTATTTTGCTCAATTTTTACGGGTTGGTCCACTAGGGGTTCTAATATTACATGGCGAGCTTCGTTTTTCGATTTCTGCCTTGGTTTTTTCGATATATAACATTTTTCTTCGTTATCGCGTTGCCATTGTACATCACTTCTCATTCGTATAGATTTTATGGAAGAACCCTTTGTCAACGTTTTACAACAGCTTTCCGCAATCCGCAATATAATATTTTTTGTTATCGCGTTGCCATTGTCCATCGCTGCTCATTTATGGAAATTCTATGGGAGAACCTTTGTCAACGTTTTTCAACAGGCTTTCGCAATTAGTTCAGAAGTTTTATAGGGCTCATTCATATCTTTTCAGAAAGTTTTCAAAACATTTTTCTGTCTCTCTCTTCAGCAGCGATATCTATGCTCCGACGCCAGTTGAAAAGTACGGAGGGGTGGCAAGGGTAATCAAATAAAGACTCATAAGAAAAATTCTGCACGAAAACTCTTTTCTTTTGCGAAAAGCTTGGCCGCATTTTCGAGCATCCCCACATGTAACCAATATTAAACGAGCCCCACAAGGGCTAAAAGAAATGTAGTGATAAAAAACTTAATCATTGAAATCAGAAAAAACAGTAGAGCTTGAGGGGGTAACCCGTGAAAATACAAAAACGAGAACAGCGAATAGACCGGGGCTCGCAAAATGTATTTAAGCAAGTTTCAAACTTGCCTCGATATTGCAACCGTAATACATTAAATCTGTATGCACATTTCAGTGAACGGGAGACTAGCTCCCCTAAGAGCCCCGCTACGCGCGCACGCGATAGCCGCGGCAAGATTTACAAATACCGTAAATCCGCGAAATAACCCTACTCGAGTAAGCCCCCACCCTAGAACTAAAAATTTCAATAAGCCCCCACTGCTACCGTTAATTCTAGAATTGGACCGACCCCCTTATTTTGATGAATTTTTGCCATCTGAGGTTTCCTTTGGCATTTTCTTGAATTGCCACAAAAACTCATACTTTTGGTAATAATTAATTAAAAGCTCATAAAGAAATTCCTACTAAAATAAACGAGATCTTTTAATAATTTCTTTTTAATGTCTACAATAATTTTATAAGCCCCTCCCCTCGTATAAGCCCCTTCCCTCGAATAAGCCCCCATCCAAAAATATCAAAAATAAATAAGCCCCCAGGGGGCTAATTCGAGGGGGGCTTATGCAAGGGGGGCTTACTTAGGTGGTAAACCATTAAAATATTTAAACGAAGAACACGAATAGACCTGGGCTTGCAAATGTTTTGAAGCAACTTTCAATTAACGGAAGACTAGCTCCCCTACGAAGCCCGCTACGCGGGCTTGCCAGTGGCCCTACGGCAGGGTACATAGATTAGCCTCGGAAAAGACAAGAGGTGTATTAACCTCCATTTGAAAACAATTGGCTCCGCACAGGTCACGTGATCAAAAAAATTGCTTGCACTCTTGTGCGCATTAAATTCGCACTCCTGTGACTATCGCTAGGAAGGGGGGAGCCTCTACCCCCTTTCTATTTAAGGCTCCCCCCTTCCTAGCGATAGTCACAGGAGTGCGAATTTAATGCGCACAAGAGTGCAAGCAATTTTTTTGATCACGTGACCTGTGCGGAGCCAATTGTTTTCAAATCGAGGTTAATACACCTCTTGTCTTTTCCGAGGCTAATCTATGTACCCTGCCGTAGGGCCACTGGCAAGCCCGCGTAGCGGGCTTCGTAGGGGAGCTAGTTTTGTACTAACTTTGTACTAATCTATTGATTACAGAAACTTTACATTATACGGTTCGGTTGTTTTCTTTCTTGCACAGTCTTTGCAAACGAACGACTCTTTCCGGGCAAATTATGCAGGCAAGAGATATTCGGTCTTGTATTTTGTTATGCTGTTCTCTGATAATTTTCAGCCCGTGGGTGTTGAATTGCGATTGGTCACTTAGTGGTTTTGAATGTCTATCTAAATTTAGCCCCTATATAAGCTATTACATCACCTAAAATGAAAAGCGGTGATAGCTAGAGATGTTGCAGTGCAAGGTGGACGGTTGTAGAAAGCGCACGCCAATTTTTTCAAGTGTTCAAATGCTGAAAATAGTTTTGGAAGCCAAGCACTGCGAACGAACTGCAAAATCGCTGCAAATGCACTGCAAACTCAAACATTAACGCACTGCAAAATCACGGCAAACGTCAGTACTATTTCACTTCAAATGGGGCCGTTGATGCACTATGGGGTCGAAGAAATTGGTAAGGATTCTACAATGTGTTGATGCTAGAAATGCAATTTTTGTGGCTTATGCATCGTTTCTTGGAGATCGTATTTTGAAGTTTCTTACTGCGGGTTCATAATATGTAGAATTAGCTTTAGGATAGCATATATGATAAAATATGCTGCATGGTATTTTTGCTCGAATACTTACTAATTTTTACTCATTGTTGTTGTAGTTATTAAAGAAATCGTCCTATTAGAAAGTGGTGTAGCCAAGGTGGCAAGATTGGAAAATTGCGTTGTTATTATTCAGGAAATGTAAGGGAAAAGTCATTACCGGGGGTTTTGAAGATCAGTAGGGGTCTAAGGGCTTGCCCCCGATAATGACCACGCATTTTGAAATGCCTGTCAACTATAGGTTAATAAAAATTGATGATGCAGTGAAAACTTAGCATTGCTGTTATTGGATTTAGAAAAATTACGCTAACCATCCTTGGTGACGATTTGGGGCTTGCGTGACAGGCTGTTGGAAATTATAGGCGCTGCTAACATCCTTTATTTTCAAACAATTTATTTCGTTTATCTCTGATCATTCACTGCTGGTATCAGTTCTAATATCCGATAATCAGTTCAGTTCAATTCAGTTTTATTTTAAGTTCCACTGAATACATACATTTGTTTCAAGTTGATATTAATCCACGTTTACAAAAGTATGAACAATGTACAAGGAAGTTTAATAATCTAAACATTACAGAACAAATAGAGAATAGAGAAGCAAGCTATTATTGCACACAGGGAGTTATTTGAAATCTCTGAATCAAGGACTGGTTTCATCTCAAGGTCACTATGGTTTTGTCACAGTAGTATTCCTTCTTGGTGGTGGTTGCAAAGATTCAAAGCTCCTGCAATGTTTTTAATTTTGAGAAAAAGACTTCTTCTCACGCACACATACATCTCCTTTCAGTATTAAAGCTGGTACGTTCCATCGTCGATACCATTGCCAAAGAATCTTGCAGTAATAGTAATCAGGTCCGGTAGTAAATGGTTTCCCGTCGAACCGACTTTGTTTTTCACTGCATCATGTCTTATTGCAGATCTCTTTTTAAAAGAAATAGAAGAAAAGTCTGTACAGAAATACTGTCATACCGACGTTAGCAACACTAACAGCTGCTCACAATACTGGCAAACTTTTCCAGGTAAGATTGATTTGAATACTATTTATACCAGTGAACCGTAAAAAAACGGACCTCATAGAAATGTACCTCATTCTAAACACAAGTTGCCCATTAAAAAATGGCGCTGAGCATTTACCAGTCAATAGACCGTATGCGTAATGCGTCACTTTTGGCCTGCACACAGCCTCAAACACTTCAAACAAACCTATCTACTTTTCGGGATAGAAGTGTTTGACGCTGCGCGCAGGCTAGTCATTTTACGATAATGCGTAATGCTGTGATAGTTGTAGTAAAAGGCGCCTCACTTTGTTTACGTTTCCTAGATATTTGCCAGTCAATACTTTTTTCAATGGCATTGATGGGTGCCAAAGACCTTCCTAGTTTTTGTTCCGTAATCTGATCTACTTAAACTGCTCCTTACAACTGTTAATAAGAAGTGGCCCTGTGCAAAGATAAAAAATGTGCTTCTAAATGATTACATGTTGCGAACTCTTAACTACAATCTGTTGATCAAACTACAAAATTACCGACTTTATCTGCATAAAGATACAAAAATATTTATTTTATTTAGCAAGCATAAAAAGCATCATAGGGCTCTCACCAATAAGTTGCTAGATATCAAATTTCGAATTTTTAGGATTTTTTCAATCTCCACAAATTTGAAAGGGGTTCAGCTAATGGTCATATTTGAATAATTTCAACTTCACAGCAAAGAGGATTATTGGTTGCTGCTTGATCGATCATTCTTTTCCTAATAACCTGGTTTTCAATGATGTTTTATTGAGCATGTTTTTAAGAAATATTTTATGAAACCAAATTGAATTTTTGTTTTTCGCCAGAGGTGAAAACATTACGACATTACAGAACTTTGAATCAAAACTTTGAAGACTCTTACAAAATATAGTAACATGTGTTCTGGGTATGGAAATTGAAATTATTTTGTTGTCAATATCCCAGTCATTAACCATGTGACGTCATTTTTTCCTAGGCCCTGCTGTTCAGTTTGTCCACGAACACGCTACTCCTATCATTTGTTTCTAATCGGCTCCTGAAAACTGATTCCCCGAATTCAAGACAAATATTTTCATTCTAGCCTGTGTCATATTTCACTTCTAGCCTTCAAGCTTCCATACCGTTATTCTTCTTGACTTGATCATTACACGCTTATGCGAAGAACAAAACTCTTCTTTTTCTAAAGTCGATTTATGTTTCTAGGCGACAAGGAAAGTCATCATTATGGGGTGAGATGCAGAAAGAGCAAGTTTTATGAGCGACAGCAGAACATCAGCATTGCAGAAACAGTGCCAGTCTTCACGTTACAAAGCAAATTAACCCCGAGTCCATCTATACACTTCTTTTCTCCGACAAACTACAAGGAAAGCGTCGAGTGGTCCATGGATCGTAATGCCAAGACGGAAGATAGTGAGTTCGTTCGGCCGGATGAGAATACGAAGATCCCGAGGAGCAACGTGAACAGCAGCTTTCGGTACATCCCCGAGGACTCGTGCGACAGTGTCATTAGCTTGGAGGATGTTGAGGATGATGATGATGATGACGATTCCTCAGAGGCAATCAAACCATCAAACAGATCGTTTCAAGGCCCTACACCAGGTACATCTTTGTCTTTTAGATACAAATTAGTTAATCTCTCAAAGAAATAAAAACATTCTACTCAGCCACCATCGTTGTAGAAAGTTTGCTGTTTTAGTGTTTAAAACGCAATATTCTGTTTCAGTTTTCAATTCATAATTGAAAACGTACACCACAAAACGAGAACATGGCATTCTTTGCAGAGAAGGACTTCACGCAACCCACCTTAACCGAATTGTTTGACACGCAAGGGCGCTTCATTTACCAGCGTTTAATTTCTTAATCTCTGTTAAATATGAAAGGAGAGGTAATTTTCAAAACCACGAGATTAATTTTCAAAAATGATCCAGTTTTAGATTTATCAGGTCAAATTAGTATTTCTCTTTGTATACTTTGTTACTTTTTATGCATCTCTGGTATGGGTTAGCAGCTTTATTATGTATTGTTTTTGTACAAACCTAAAACCAATTTTTCGTATAGGAAGAGCCGCTAAGCCACAAGAGCCGTCGGCTGTGGAGGAGCTTCAAGCCCTTATGTTGTCTGTGCGAGAAGCAACTACCACTCCGAAGGAGAACCAGGACAAATCCCAGGATGGTAAAAAGATATGTAAAATTGAATCATCCATGGAGGTCGACTATCAGAAGGAAAAAAGTGCTGTTACTGTTCCAAACTTAGAGATGGTAGAGGAACCAGAGGAGGTATGGATCGGTTATCTGTCTACATCTTAGCATATTCTATCTTCGGATCTTTGTTTTTGACTGTCTTAGCATTTACAGTATATCCTCAATATTGCTGTTAGCATAAAACTGATATAAATTCGATCTTCGTATTTAAGCCCACGAAATTCAAGATGTTTATTTCTGCTTTAGTTAATTGTCAAAAACTCGATATGTTGTGTTTTTGTTGCTGTTGTTGTCCTGGGAAATTCTTTCTTACTCTTTAAGATGCACCTGATTACGTTCAAAGATGATTATGTTTTCGAAATTACATGGATAAGACATTTCTCATCTTTTTAAGCTCGACTGATCGATAAGACTTTATTCGCCCTGCCGATTGACTTACTTAATAGGATGCTAGAGTCATTTCTCAACTGACACCCACTAGAAATTATTTTTAATATTCATTCTTCAAATATTTATCTAATTGTATATTTATCATTTTCATATATATATATTGAATTTTTATCCTCGGCTTTTTAAAGATGTAATATTAATTATATAGATCACTTGTTAGTGTTGTTGATATTGATCAAATGTTCACAACTTTTCCATCCAAGCCCAAGATAATTATTGCTTATAACAGGTGAATGTTAGAGGTCCTAGACGGAGGTCTAACTCCGCCTCTTCTTTAACACGCTTTTTGCTTTATTCTTCCTTCCAGACAACAGATCAAAGTTGTTCTTAGAGAAATCTGCCCGTAAAAACCCTAAAAACCAGTCAACGCCCACCACCCCCTCTATTCACAGTTGTTGCGTATGCGCTTTGAAAGCAGGGAAATCGGAGTTAAACATTGGAATAAGGAGTGCATAACCTCAGTACTGTCTATCCGGGACTTTAGGAGCATCATAAAGGGGGATAGAACCAAAACAACATAAAACATAACAAATTGATTGTTCCGAATTATAACCTAGTGCCTGTTGCGCAATTTTGAGTTTACTGAAGCCCAGGGCTCAGAGGCTCTGAAGGATTGATCTAGCCCTTACTACTCATCTTGGTGTTTATCTTGATTCTATGCATGTTGTTATCATTATTTTTAGTCATACCGTGCTCGATATGAAAGCGAAGGATGTCGTGGTCCTATAAGGGGTGTAAGTGAAAATGGATTCCCAACTGTCAGGGTGAGTCTTTATTTTGCAGCCCATTGTGCAGAGTTCTTTGTTGTCTGTCAAACATCTGTGACGTGGCGTGGAACAAAATGCCACAAAAAAGCCATATCGAGTACTTTGACCTCTGTGCATAAGCACCTGTGAGCTACTATTTTAAACCATTGTAGAATTTGCATTGAATTGAAATCTTATCCTTTAAATATTCTTTAACTTTATCCTCCTTTCTTTTCTCCTTTTTTCTCCATTCGAATCTCTCTCGTTTTTCATTGACATCCTTTTTTTGTCAATTTTCTTTTTCCACCTGTCGATTCTTTCCCTATCTTTCTGTCTATTCGCTTCTTTCCTCCCCTTTGTCTTTGTTGCATTTCTGCTGTCAGATTTCCCTTTCTTTGAGGTCCTTCCTTTTTTATCTTTTCCCACTTACTGTTTTTCCTTTCCCTTTTTCCTCTATTTTCTTTTCCTATTTCCTCTCTAATCGTTACCTCGAGGACTTTTTCCAGTGCACTCCCCTTTTTTTTCCATCCCTTTTCTTCTTTCTATATACTTCCTCGCCTTTTCCCCCTTTATCTATGTTATATAAATATATACATTCTAATACAATAAATTTTCATCTATACCCAAAGACTCTTCATCACCTATGAAACCCGGTTTTTTCCCAAGAAAACTAGGGACCTTTCTGGCTGCACCTCTTCTCCACTTAATTGTGGTAGGGAACCCCATTATTGACAGATTTTCTTTGCAACCACAGGTAAATGGGTATTCCGGAAGTGTCTTGATGACTGTGTACCTTGTCACTGAATGTGGTGAGCCACATCTACATTCGATAACTGGTCCTGGATCAACAAAGACCATGTGCAAAGAGGTCACCCTTGAAGGAAATGTCTCCGCTATACAGACTTGGATTGGTCCAGAGCAGAACATGACTGCAGTGTGCGTTTATCATTGTAATTCGTTCACCTTACTTGTCACATGCAAAACTATAGTCCTGCTCTATCATCGTATTTCAAAATAGAATTTAAGTATAAAGTTTTGTGACTTCAAAACGTCAGAATTTAAGGACTTAAAAAAACCTTTCTATTAGTCATTCTGAATTCAATAACAACAATTCAAATACATGATAAATCAAAATATTAGGCCAAAATTTTCTAGTGCCTCAATGCTTTCTGTATTTAATCTTGTAATGTTTAAATCACCTAGTCTGCCCGATTTGTGCAGTTTTTCAGTTCGCTTCAGTTTAAAATTTTCCATGTCATAAAGTCAGGCTTCGTTCTGTACTCTGAGAAGCCATCCTTGACTATCCACCCTTTTTAATCTGGCGATGACAGTATCTTGATTTCGCTTACTAAATTTGATGAAATAATTGTTTTCAGTTGGGATTCACTAAGCGTACGTCGAATTCGCAACTGGGATGCAGACAAGAAGCTGCGGGAAAGGGGCGACAACCCAGCCGCCTGGAAGGCGAAGAAGAAAGAGGCCCGGCTTATGTTCCAATGTAACGTACCGCAAACCACGGACCGGCCTGGTTACATACTGACTTGCCAGTCAAGACCATTTATGTGCAGTGAGTTGGTTTTGTATTCATTTATCTTAAGAATTGTAGTAAAGGTCGTATCTTCTTGATCGACTTTGTAAGATTTTGTAGGATATTGACTTAATCAATTCCTGATTATGTATCGTTGGTCATAGACTGCCGTATTAGTTTTGAGGCTTGGAGCTTCAGGGAAAGGTTTTTCAATTTACACCGCCAAGATCTGTTGCTAGGGTATATTAGACAATTCAGATTGAAAATGGCTTTGAAAAAAGCAAACATTTTACAACATATTGGTTAAAAACTTTTTCGTCTGACATTCCTCAGAGCATGAAACGTCAGAATAAGTTCTGTACCGCCGAAAAACTGTTCACAATTCAGATTGCTTTCTGTTTTAAGCAACACACTCTCTTATAGCTGCCAATGCCTTAATGAATTTTGCTTTCTGCAATTTTTATTTGCTTTTTATTTTTATAAGCTTACAGCTTACCTGCTGTTTTAAAAAGTCTCGAAACGGTGCTAAAAATTGCCCTGGAATTTTGCTGAAATGCTCGTTTCGTTACAGTTGTGTTTTCGCAAACCCCAAATGAAAGTTCTGGTAGTGCATTTCCGTGAAATAAATTATAATATATTGCATTTTTCGGCATGTTAATTCTTTGTTGCTTTATGCGTCTTTTCACAATATTTGATGTCGATCGATCATGTAGAAATTTTCGAGTTTTCCAGACTTTGTGCAATAGAAACACGGTAACAATATCATCAGTTTTCACTATTTCAATCGTTCACTCATCTTTTCTGCAAATCGAAAATGGCGGTAACGAAACGTCAACCCGTCTTGTCTGCAACAACAGTAACTAAAGGCTGCCAATTGTCAAGCCGTAAATTATGAAATGCTCATGCAATTAATAACAATGTAGTATCAACAAGAGATTGCACATTGAACACGTGACAGGTACAGCCGCTGGAATCCCCTCTCAGATATGAGGATTGACTCTGTTTTCCATTATATAGATACCAAAACCATATAAAGACCACCTAAGGAAGCGAGTAGAAGAATGATGACGTCATAAACCCATTTTAGAATTTTTTGAATTCGTCTCATGAGTTACATGTTACACTTTTAAGCTTGGTGGAATACATGTTTCCTGAGACATGGCCAGTGAAAGACCCAGTTTTGTTAATGGACCCGTGTTGTTTTTGCTTAGTTCACAAGCTTTAAAACCAAGGAATTATTGAAATGGTTTAAAAACCTGTACCCATGTGGGCATATCTCTGCTAATTTGTATCCCATTTAACCCACTTTGCACACTTAGATGCATTCCATTGCTTTCTTAAAGGCTATGGAGTCAAAGTTCGAAAATTCTAAAAATAGATTTTACGTTTGCATCACTTTGATGCTCTATAATTCTATAATGATTATAATGATTGCGATTGTGAGCATGATTATAATGATCCTTATGATCATATTGACGCTTGCGATCCTCGACAGCTGCCCCGTCTGGTAACCCCGAAATATGGTGGATTAGCGAAAACGAGAGTACTCCAAATGGCGGAAAAGAGATTGCAATCATTGGGAAAAAATTTTCAACTGGTTTTCGTGTTCGGTTTTACGGAACCGATTCTGGTGGTATGTTTTCCAATATTCTATCTTTAATTAGATTCATGTGTATACTATTCTAAAAAACCATCGAGTAAAATTCAATTCTCATCAAGACTCTTGTAGGTCAAAAAACTTGCTAAATAGTATTGCTGAAGGAGTTAGATCTCATCTTGAAGATCTATTTTAGGGGCGTATCAATGTTTTCAAAAATGGCTGCCAAAACCATTGCTGCTAGAAATTATAAGAGTTTTATATAATTGTGCATGATGTAGGGTGGTTGGAAGTTTAAATGCAGCGGAATCCCGATTTAACAAGTCCGAAGGGCGATCGCCCTGTCAAAAAAGGACAAAACCTAAAGCACCTCAGGGACATATTAGAGAACACTGAATTGACGAAAATTTTGAACTCTTCGTCTGTCTAAATGTAATGTTAAGGATTTTAACAAAGTATTTGCTGAGATTAAGTTCAGCATCAATGTTGATGATTCAACATTAAAGGCACTTGGTCCCGTCAGACAACCGCTCAAAGTTAATCGGATTTGCAGTGCGTTAATGATCAGGAAAACATTGAGAATTAACCGATTGGTTGCAAAATGAATTAGCCTATTGGTCTATTGTTCAACCAATGGGAAATTTCAATTGTCCAGCGAAATGCATCAGGACCCAGCGCCTTTAAGTCAATATGGTTCCATTAAAGTTTTCAAAAATTTGCAGGCCTCCATTTGAGGAAATGTACTTTTCCCTTAATTTTCTTCACTCTTCGTTATGTCTTTTGGGACTGTGACATGTTCTGGCGAGGGCGGTTACCGTCCTGCGCAAACTGGAAAAGGCATGCTTGTTGTATTGTCACTTTCTTATCATAACCCAATATTTCTCCAATTACTAATACTGTTTTGCTTTTCCCTTGAAGGGCTTTGGGAGGCATATGCTGATGTGGATAAATCGAAAAGTCACCAGGTGAGCCTAACCTCTAGCGTTGCTAATTATTTCAGCTCGAACAAACCTCATGACATAGCTTACTGACGAAATCTGTCTATAAAATACGAATTTTGAAATATTCTGAAATCTTAACAATTTGACTTATTTGTCTAAAGAGGAAACCCTTTTTTCCAAAAGTCATTTTTGTGGTCTAGAGTATGCCTGGTGTTTTCCCAAGACAACACACATTTACCTTGCAGAGAACTCACTATGACATTTTGATCGCAAATCAAATTTTCTGTAAACTGCCTCGTGTTATAAGCAAATTAAATTTCTTCGTCTTCATTTTGTGAATTTTATTATTTCGACGATGCTTAATGCAGTTTCTAAGTCTGTTTATTAAATATCCAAGCCTATCAAAGCCAAAGCATGTCTTAGTGGATTAAGCCTTTCTGCAGGATAAGAAGAAGTAAAATCAGCTTCAATTAGTCAATGCACTGAAATCTTATCAATGTTTCTAATTTTCCACTTATTTAGACAAGGTTATTTTATTTATTGCTTCTCCAACTTGAACTTTTACTCAAGGCGTATTTCCGATGACAGTTTGCCAAAGATCACCTATCTGATTCCACTGATTTAAATGATTAAATTTCTGTTAACCAATTCATGCTTTCTGTTGCACAGTAGTTTGGTCAGATTTGATAAACAGCTGAACTTTCTCATTTAATTTCTTGTCTCTCCTTGATCCTGATTCTCTCCATATCGATGAACTGTAAATCCATTTCCTGTGGAAACGCTGTGTTGAAATTGTAGGCTACAGACCATAATTATCACATCCCTTATAAAACGCTTTGACTCGATGAGAAATTAAAACTAAATTGTCCCGCCTCTGGTGACTAATATACTTAGAAATTATTCATTATACAATTACCTTGGTTGTATTTGTTGTCAATAGTAAAAACCTATTTGCGATTATTAATTTTTCTTCGATTTACGGAGCAGATGCTTTCCTTTTGAACAGAGGCAACCAAATCGTGATTCGACAAGGAAGACATACTCCTATTTTTTACAGTATCTCAATCGAAATCTTGTGCTCTTAGTTATAAAGCTAACTCCACTTGGACCTATTGTTGGTTTTTGAATCTTGCACTTAAAAATTCTTCAGTTCGGAACCTTGGTTACTTCCTGTCTTCATGAACATTTTTCCTTTCGTTACATTTTCAAATATTTTTGAAGAGTAGCCCTTCAGCAATCCTGATTTTAAAAGGACCCTCCATTTTAAGTAAATACAAATTTGATAGCTAGTAATAAGAAATAAGTAACGACATCAATTACAGTCAAAAACAGAAATACTTAATAAATAATTACAACCTAAAGTACACTAGAAGTCCAAGTCCAAATCTTATTGCTAATTTTTTCTTTTTATGAAAGCATTAAAATAAATTTATTCAAGTTCTCTGTTTTGCTTCTATTGAAAAGCTTTTCCATGCCTTGCATCTCGAAACCAGAATTTCTTAGCTCATTATTAAAGTTTTTAGGCAGCTCCAAACCGCTAGTACCATTCAGAACCTAGTATGTGGAGTGTGGTAATTTAATCCTAAACTGACAAGTTGCACTCAGTGCCGCGTCTTAGAGATGTTTAAACATTTTATTTACAGGTGTTGCATATATTATCATATTTTTGTTTTATTCTCAAAGGGTGCCATCGTTTTGAAAGTCCCCCAGTACAAGGCTTTGGACATCGACAGGAAAATTGAAGTTTTGGTTGAAGTTCGTGTTGGACCAGAAAAGGATAAAAGATGCAGTGAGTCGATCGCCTTTTCATACAAACCAGATTCAAATGCTGAAGCAAAGAGAAGTGAACCCTGCTCATACTGCAATTCTGTTAAAAGTGCTCTTTCCCATTTGTTTGGGAAGGATTCGAAAGCATCAGATCTAGCACAAGAAAGTGACTTGGCATTTGAACCTGAGAAAAAAAGACCCCCTGCAAAAATAGAAGATTCGCCTAATCGTCTGCAGTCACCAAAGGAACAACTAAGCCAAAATGAAAGAGCGGGAAATCTAGATAAGGATATTCAAATGTCAGATATATCAAAGCAAGAACATGAGCGGCAGCGGAAAGATTTAGAGAAGGGCGAAGGCTATTTCCAAGAAGTCAAGGAAAAGTCATCAAATGTTGCACACTCAAGATTGTTTCAAAATCAAATTGGACAGAATGTGTCAGACTCTGCTCTTGTCCATTTGCTTCTTCAAAGCCAAACTGCCGGCGCGAATGTGCCACTGATCCATGGGACTGTGCCATCAACCATTAATAGTGTCATATCACTAGTCTCTGCTGTTCCTTCCGGGACAATTTCCATACCCTCTCAGGCAACTGCACCTGTAGCTGTGCCGCAGCTGATCGGCTCAACGCAGACGAAATTGCATACAGGCCTCTCTGTGCTTGCGACACCTCAAAATGTAACATTGCTGCCAAATAGTATGCCAAACGTCCCTGAACGGCCAGTCCGAGTCTGCGTTTTAAACAGCCAGTCGGCAGCTGCAACATATGGCCTCAGTAATGTATTCACGTCGGCGAGGATCATCTCCTCCAGTGGAGCTTCTCATAACATCCCAGCGCACTTGCAAGTAAGTGGTATTACGGCCCCAATCAACATGAATGTCACGACTTCCTTCAGCGGAGCCAAAAGCCAAGAATACATTGTCATCCCTGGCATGACATTAGTGGATGGGGCAGGGCTTTCATCCCTCAAAAATGATGTGAACGAAAGCAAAGCTGTTAGGGCTGCAAGCGTGAGCTGCTTTCAGCCTCAAATAGGCAGTTCCTGGAGCCTGTCAGAGAAACCACAAATGTCCACTACGTCGGTTCAGCCGATGACCACCGTTCGGTCGCAGCCTGGTTTGATCAACCAAAACTCGGTACTCGCACAGGGGTCGGTCACCTCAAACGCTGTCTTTCTACTGTCCCAAAGACCTGTCGCGTCAGCTTCTATTAATCTTCCAGCTTCTGTTGCTTTTTCTGGGAATGCATCGAATATTCTTCAAACCCAGTTTCAAAATAATAATATCCAGCAACAAAAAGAACAACTCTCTACAACAGCCCAGAATGCTTTTGCTAGTAACTACTCAATTGCCAACAGTACGACAATGCCTGGAATGCAAACTAGCTTGCCAGCGCGTACTATATCTGCTTTGAATACCATGTCTCAACCAATGTTTGTGCAGAATGTTATGTCTGACGGTCTGATAACTCCTAGCTCATCTGTTATGGAAAGCCCTAGTGTTGCTGTAAACGTCTTAGGCCCAGTAAGTGCTTATCAAAGCGCAGCCCCTACAAACAATGTGTTTCAAGCTTTGGCAAGTAACGTTACTGTTGCCATGCCTCTTTCTCAGAACTCCTGGCCACAGTCCACCAACCCGCCTGCATACAACCAAGCATTTTCAAGCCCATCAACAAAAGTCGACCAGGCCTTTGATAATCAACTACCGTCTACGTTTCAAACCCCAACCAATCAGCAACAGTTTAGCCCTATGCTAAGTAATGCAACAGTCCAAGCCTTGTTAGCTAGCCAGCCTTTATTGCAGAAAACAGAACAACCGTATAATGCTCTTCCTATTAGCCAGGAGGTGAGTTTTCAAGATGTTACAGGATTCACATCATGTGTGTCATCTTCTCTACCAAACACTAGCATGCAAGTGACTCCAAGTTTTAGCGATAATCCCGGACCAACAAGCGGACAGATAATTGGAGAGCAAATCCAAGAAAAGGAGAGTATCTTGGCTCATGATTTAAATCGTTTGTCGGTGGTAGGCAGCCTCGCACAATCAAACGCTTTCTCGTCAGAGCCTAGAAATATTCCAAGAAGCATGACACATTTCAACCCAGGTTTAAGTGGTGTATCGCCATCTCTGAGTGATCCTCAGCCAATGTCTTTGACAGACGACAGTCTTACAGAGGTAATTGCAGACTTCATGAAACAGCCTCCTGCAAATGAGATGGATAAGCCTGCAATTGGCGCCGAGCACCAACATCAGCAGCTGGTCAATTCATTTTTAGTTCCTCAATTGCGAAACGCCGAAAAGCAGAACGAGACTTCTAGCCAATTTATTCCGTATTCTCATGAAGAAGCAATGAACACAGTAAATAAGTATATTGTTGGCGAGGACGCAATGTTTAGTGGGCCTGATCTAAGTAAAAGCTCCAATTCAAGTGTATGGACAGATGGGATTCAGTCCATTGTAACACCACAAACCTCTGCGATGTCGCTTGCCAGTTCATCTGCAATTAACACTTCGATGTGGAACCAGCCGAGTCACATGGTGCAGAGTCAGTCAGATATTCAAGGAAGAAAAAGTGACAGTATCGTAATAGATGGAGACAAGCTTCAAAAGTCGGGCTTTGTTTCGGATTATGTTGATGAAGAAGGAACCATGCGTTCAGCTGTGTATGAGAGCGTTGGAAGCAATCCATACACGGCTGTTGATAAATCCTCGCAACAGCAAACGAACATACATCTGCAAGAGGCATTGGCAGCTAAAATGACACAAATGCCGAATTCAACGGAGCAGCAAGCTGCATCAGTGTTGCCTGCAGCCCAATACGGCCATGTTCAGAACCAAAGTACTGTTGACTTGGGTGTGATATCATCAGGCCAGGAGGCTTACTATGAGAATCAAAATTTCAGCAACATAAACAGTATGGCGGCCTCACAGCACTACCCATTGCATGACAGTACATCAGGTAGCGCAGAGGGCAAGTTGCAACTGCAAACACAATCAGATACACCAAATTTTAATCACCAGCCACCGGTAAATGAACCTCAAAACCTGCTGTCGCAAAACAAATGTGAGAGCCTGTCCCGCGTTAATGCTCCGATGATTTTAGAGAGTCATGCAACACCTGGAAGTGCTTCAGAGCTGGAACAGGCGAAACTAGGTGAGTTTGTGTTTATTTTCGCTCTTGACATCGGTTAGTGCAAGGATGAAGGGACAGGGTGTAATCATTTAATGACAAAATCTGGAGATAATTTGTGGCATATGAAAAGCAATTTTACAATGGGAGCAAGAAAAGAGCCTTGTAGTCTACTAGTTTCAGTCTATTACAGTAACAAATCAAACCCATTGCAAAAAAATCTTTTATTGTTTTGAAAGATGACCGTTTTTAACCTTAGGGTTTACGAATCGGACCAACGATTTGATAAATACTTTTTGGATTAATACGACTACTCGAAAATTTGTTTATTTGTTTAGCCGAGTTTTTTGTTTCTCTTCACCCGTTACAAGATTTTGTGTTGTCTAAAGATTGCATTCAGTTCCAGTTTAAGTTATCATGTTTTACTACCCCTCTAATTTTCCTTAGTTGAAGGGATTTTCCTTTACCGCTTATGCACGACATGGACACAATTAGAGTACCATCCTTACGCTAAATTGCAGCAATCTTTTAAGTCGTTTAATTAACTTGCGGTTGTTTTTTCGGAGGCTTTTTACTGGTTTTTTGGGAAGAACACGCTTTTTAATTTCCAGTTGTTATTAAGAAAACAAGAGTTAAAACGATTTGTTACCAAAGTAGCTTCTTAACTTAGCGTTGTTTTCTTCCAATACCAAGGAAACCACCACTTTTGTTTTTCAGTTTGCATCTGTTGTGAATTGGTCCAATTTCAGACGCTCTGTTTTGTTAGACCACTCTCAGCATCGTTCTTCGGTTGATTTTGTCTTTCTCAATAGAATTGTTTTTAAATCTCGAACCATATACACCCCTGAGTTTTCCCTTTGCTTCCTTTGAATCGGTAATCATGAACACCTTTGAACACAGTTGCGCTTTACCTGGACTATTCTAAGACAATGTCATATCTTTTTTTCCTTCATTTTCAACAGAGCTCATAAGGGACACAGGCCTATTGGTGGCAGAAGGAACCCTGAATCAGAGAGAGGCTGAGGTATGATACAAAAGCAACAATATTCTTTATGATTTTACCAGTTGTGCAAATACAGGCTTCCAAGTTGAGTTGAACCTTTCGTTACAATGAAGTCTTTCACCTTTCTTTTGCTTTTATCAACTCTGAACTCTACCTTTTTTTGTTATTTAGAGTCTCTATGCATCTGTTCAGCGAAATGACAGCTTGTTGTTGGAGATGTATCGTACGAGCAAAAAGGACAGTGAGAGTCGCGCAAATGTGGTTGAAATTCTAAAGCACTGGGTGAATCAATTCGTCTAGCTTCTGCACTCAGGATGAATCTCACCTCGTGCCACGTAACACAAGCTACCGAGTCAGCCATCAGAGTAGGATGCTCCTAGAAGTATTCTAATTGAATTTATTAGCTGTTTTGAATAGCTAGTCGAATTCAGCTAATACTTAACTATTGATACATGACTCTTATTGGCAAAATCTAACTGGCGCTGATAAATTTGTAATGGTTCCTTTGAGCGGTTATTTGGTAAGCTGAATACCATTTTCGTGATCGCGGCTCGACCTTGCATTTGGCTTCCTAGATTAGGCCTATACTGGGCGTTGCAGCTGCTGCCGTATTCATGTTAGCCTCGCTTTCGCAAACGCTCATTTTATGCTTCGGCTTCTTGTTAATGACGTTTTGTTCCTTTGTGTTCATTGAACTGGCCAATGTATTCCCTATTGGTTACAGGAGCTTTTGAATAACAGCGAGCAGCGAACGAAACTTTTTTGTATCGGCATATGGTACTTTGCTATCAGTTTAGTTACAGCTTGCGCATAAACAATCTTACGTTCATAGCTTAAATTCCGTGTTTATTTGTTGCTGTAATCGTTTTGTGGAAATCACAGTATTTCGTTTATATTTTTTCATTAACGCACTTGAATAAGATTTTTGTTACGATTTTCCGATACTTTACACCCCATTTATTGTTTTCAGTGCTTTCTCAAAAGAGCTCTTTTTGTAACCCAATGCCCTTAAGTGTTTCCCGCCAGCATACACGTACTATCTGCAATCTATTGGTATTAATCCCTTCCCTTTTAAATGGTGGCTTTCCTTTAATATCTGCTGTTGTCCTGTCCTATTTACCTGTCTGTTGACTCGCCTCCATTGCATCAAAGATTCTAAACCCCGCATCTACAAGTCAATGTCAAGCTTCTGCTCTGTCAATTGTGCTTAAGGAGTAAAATTGTTAACAACAGAATTTTCAATAATTAAAGTTTGATGCTTATATTTCTATTGATTATTGAAAATATCCAAAAATTTCCTGAAACCTTAAGAATTTGGACAAAATTTATAGTGTTCGTTGTACGTTTTTGTATCTTTTGATTAGGGCTAGCCTTTTTCGGCCAATCTTCTTACTCTGTCTGTGATTTACACTCTTTTTCAAGTGGATATTTGTGAAAGGTTCAGCAGATTTTCCATTTTTTAAACTGAGAAGGCAAATGCAATTTCAGTTTCATTCCAAAACATCATAAAGACATTTTGAAGGTCAAAGTAGTTTGCAAAAATCATTTAGTAGTCATACAGGCCCATACAGCAAGTGACAATCATTGTAATAGTCCCATAATATGAAATGAATATTCTCTGTCAACATGATATAATTAAATAATATGATGTAGATGGTTTACCCTGTCACTATATATCGACCTCTCTTAAAACCTATTTGATAAACGCACGAAATTTCAGATCAAACAGGATTTTGTTTATTTATTTAATTTGTAGTTCTACAAAGCATATTTGTATTCGTTTGACGTTGCATCTTCATTTTAATGTTCATGTGTAGCATATTTCTATGTTTTGAATGTTTTTAGTGGACAAGTGCGTGAATGATACCTCTATGTTTACACAGGCAAAGTAACTTTTACCCTGTGGGTAGAGGTGTCCCCAGTACTTAGCTCTGTACTCTTGATCCACCCCCGCCCCCGCCCCCCCCCCTACAATTCAATACAGTATCGTCTGGAAATGGAGGCAGGTTTGGATGATTACACTGTCCGCCTCGATATTTCAGAGGTTGCTTATGTCTTGGGGATTTCGTAAAAGTTGTCCAATAGTTAAAACAATCGATGTAGTTTGATCAACTGATCAGCTTGCTTTGATTGAATGATATCTTGTGCTATGATCGATAGATCATGGTGCTTTGACCGACAGATCAGTGTGCTTTGATCGAATGTCCCGATTCCTTTTAGCGACCTCTAGGCATTCTGGGCTAGATTTCTGCGACCTTTATTATCATATGTGTCCCTTGCCCCTATTTTTGTAACCAGAGTGACAATTATAACATATCCAGTCAAACGTCCTTGCGTAATTGTAGGCGATATTCGAGACCATTTGCTTGTCTACAAGTAATTGTGACCTTGTTTATAATTGTTTATCTTTAAAAGATGATAGCAACATTTCACGTAGAGAATGCTATAAAACTTAAAGTATTGAAGCAAGAGTGCTATTCAGATCAAAAATAACAATGAAAGATGTTGTTAGATTAGTGTTTCTCATAGTCCTTTCCTTAAATCTTGAGGATGGCATTCAAGCAATATCCCGGTTAACCCCGGATCGAATCCAAAATGAACTGCACCGGTTTCATATGCAGACTTTGAGAAAATTACATGATTTCTATCAAGACTAACGCAATTGACATGGCTACATATTGTATTCAGCTTTGAATAGTATGAATCATGAAATCGTGTAGATATGGAAAAACGTTATTTTACTTGCAACTGTTTCAATTGGAAACCTGTCAAAGATTTATTTGCCATGTTTTCAAAAGGTCGGTGTTCTAATGAAAATGTTGAATTCAATATGTCTGCTCTATTGGGAATTCAACGAAGAAATCTATTTATATGCTGGCAAACTGTAGATTCAATTATGTGTTTGCATTTGCATCCACCTTGTTGAGGTCGAAGACATTAATGGCCTAAAAAGCGATTGTACAACAACACAGTCGAAATCCTAAAACATTGAAAAACCATAAATTGTTATCCACCATTTTTTCCTTGAGAACTGTGGAGTTTTGTTAGAAATTCTTCCGCAAATTGGTAATCTAGGAGAGAGACAAGCGAAGGCATGGCGCAAGGACTTGTCATAGGGCCACCAATATTTAGCCAATACAGGTTGACACATTTTTGGAAGTTTCCTGTTGTGTCTGATAATATTGCAATTCGCTGAGGCAAGGTTTTTGTTATCACAGAGGACCAAGGTGACCTCAAGAAATTACAGGATCACTTTATGTTAAATGGCATGTTTGTTAAAATGTTAAATGTCGTGAACCTGTTTGGCTAATGCAATACAATTATCTTTTTTAAGTACCACGAAACAATGGAATTCCACTCCAAATGCAACAAATATTAGTCAACTACTAACGCGACATTTGCTCTTTAACATAATATTTATGTCGACACATTTGGGAGTACGTGTTGCAAAACCTATATATTTCTTTCCTTTAAAGCTTCTAATAGCATCAAATCTATTTACGAACATGTTTCATTGCCACGACCTGTCAAAATTTTGTTATTTTTCTGAAAGATGAGGAATTAAAAGCAGGTACTAATTATTAATGGGTCGTCAAGTGAGGTTTCTGAGGCAATAACACATGTATACGATTTATAGATTTTTATAACGCCTTTGTTGTCCATGTCAATATTCAGCTCATCGATGTTTATTGAAAACATTTATAAACTTTTTTCCTACCATTGCAACACTTAGAGTGCGGTATGATGGGAACATGAAACGAGAAGTAAGCATATATAGAGATAGATTAAACTAAAATGTAAGAGCAAAGTTTGCCGATCATTCAGAAATAGACCTGCCTCGAGATTTAAGGTTTTTTATTTTTTAATACTTCAGTTTCAGGGAGTTAATGATATCAATCTTGTTTACATCAAATTATGTTTTTCGAGAGAAATAAAACATTTTTTAAAGCCGTTTGGTTATAATTACTTATACTACATTTTATATAAAAGGTGACCATGACACGAATAGGGAAGGCGTTAAGATAAATCCTATTCATTACAATGGTTTATCTTTTTTAATCAATAATCCCGCAAGGTTCGTTACTAGGCGCATTTGTTCTTAAAGGCCAAACCTCTTTTGCTGCCAAAAAAATCATCAGTTACCACAAAACCAAGGCCACCTGGTTTTTTATTCGATATTCAGTTAAATGATGTTTTTCTGAATGAGATTTGATTGAAACTAGCTTTTAATTGTTGATTTTATATTGTACATCCATTGGGTATTACAAAACAAAGGATTCAAGTTACGCCATTAAAGTTTAAACTTTAATGATTCCAACTCGTTTGTGGCTCGTTGCATTGATTGCAAAAACCTATTTTTGACATTTCTTTTGTTTTCCAATTTACAAAGCTGTAGAGGATTTCGATGAAACTGTATTGTTAATTTGTTCTCCTTGAATATGAGATCGAATCAATCAAACATTTCTCTTTCATGTTCGAGATTCGATGTTCCAAAAGAGAGGGAGGGAGAGATCCTCTATTGACAAAATGAGAAATTTAATACCATCTGTGAACTAAGAGGAAATGGGATAAAATGCCAGTTTTGGCAAGGTCTTGTCGTGGTTACGGATAGTACTTAAAAACGATAATGCTTTCTAATGCAAGCATCTAGGTCAGTGGCGGTTTAAAGGGGGGTCCAGGGGGCCACGGCCCCAGGTTCCGTGCTTATGGTAGCCACAAGGGGCCCCACACCTAAGATAAAAGATATAAAATTGTTAAGAGCAAGGGCCCCGAGGATGTTTTTGGCCCTGGGTCCAACAGTCCCTAAAACCGCTGCTGATCTAGGAACTTAATGATCCCCTGTTAACTTTGAGCTAAAAAGCCTTCGATTAATAAGTAAACAGGCGTGTCTTCAGCTCTAATGATTATTTACTCGATACATTGTATGTTTTACATAAATGATATAAAAAAGAATACTTCGAAGGAAATACTTCGTAATTTCCTCAAGATAATTGTTTAAGATTGGGTTAAATTTAAACTTTTTAAGTTCAAAATATCGCAAAAAACTTCTAGGTTATGTTTATTTTTCTATCATGTTTGAGCACTGCAATTTGAACACTGGCGTTTTTCTAAATTATTTACAGTCACTTCGCTAAGCAACGCAGTTTTTCCGTACTTTATTTTGGGTTTACCGCGTATTTCCTTTTGTTTCACCTATGTCTATCATCAGAGGCAAAGAACTTGGTACCATCAAAAATTTTGCGTCTTGCTTCAATGAGGATAAATTTTCCGGAGAGCTATTGTCCGCGTGTTTTGAAACCGGAGAAGGAGTTATATCAGCTACTGTTTCACTGTTGATTTCTGTGGTGCAAACGTCTAAGGTACCTGCTCTCGACTTAGCATCACTTGCGGTATCTCTGCCACTGTCAACAGAATTAGTCCGCCTGGTTGACAATTCTTCATGGCTTCGTGAAATGGACCAGCTTCGAATCCATTGTTTTGCAGCCTCTTTGTGCTGCGGTGAAAAGAAACCAATGCAAAAAATCAGCGATGTGAGTGATATTTCTATGAGTCTGGCAGAGATTTCCAGCGCGTAGATCTCCAGCTCATTCAGCCTGTACTGTTTAGTGTAGTTAAATAATACTAACATTCTTATATTCATGTAAAAGTTCAACGCAAACGTAAGAAATGTTAGAACAGCAATCACTCTTATTTTTCTAACCATACTCTGAAAATTCTCGACATCCGTATGGACTACTTTCGTTCTAACAAACCGTAGTTTTGCACTCTCTTTAACAAGTCGTATAGACGGCCGCCTGTTTCGTGTCATTTTTTTAAATGTTCCACAGAGACATAGACCAAGTGCCAAATAAAATACGCCGTTTACCATACTTGAGACTAACAGCAAATTAGTCATCGACGTAAAGATGTTTTTAGAATACGAAAACAGCATGGCGAGTTCTTTGAAGACAATAGTCACAAGGTTGACTGTGAATATCGATGCAACTGCAAGCGTATTTTGAAAATGCCAAATCATAGGCTCTAGCTTTGTTGTTGACCATAAGATGAAAAGAAAAACTGCTAACGAGGTTATAAGAAATGTTGTTCCTGCCGACCAAGTTAACAAGAAAATTGCTGTCGCGAAGGTGTCTTGTTCAAATGAGAAAAGCAAACTGATGCAGCGAAGTAAACAAAACAACAAACTACATGCATCTATTACTAGTATCTTCTGGCGTTGTTTCGATTTATAGTTCCGTCGTTGCAGCAATGGACACACGATAACACATCCGGCAATAACAAACATCCCGCAGGTTCCATATTGATACATATTCCACTTCAGTTCTTCTTTTGTATGCGTTTTGTTTGTGTGATTTAGATTTTCATTGAACAGAAATTCTCGAAATGTGTCTCCGTATATAGCTGGCTTCATCGTAAAAAGCTATCTACCATTTACTTAAGTAAATTCTTGATTATTATCAGTATTCAAAACAGCATTTGGCTTATGATCATATCAACCTTTGACTATTTGAAATATAAATCGATTTGTCTGAGCTTGCAGTTTTGACGGCACTTTTTTATGAAAATCCAACTGATGTAATTTCAGGCTACGAATTTGTTGTCCTTCGTCTACCGATACTTGAAGAACACTCGAAAATCAGATCTAGAAAAAAATATTGTGATTTAGGAATTCAAGTATTAAACAAATTCTCCACACTCTTAGTTAAATGAAAGATCGCAGTTGAACTTGCAAAGGGATGATCATGATATTTTGCGCCTCTCCACTAGGTTATGCTACATAGGGGTGAAGCATTTACTTTGTTTTTGTGATGAAAAGTAGTTCAGATACTAC